CACAGCCAACAGGTTTGCATTCATGGTTTTGCTTGTGTCTGCAATAATTGCCAATCACTGCATTTTGATGTTTATGTTTATTCATCCTAAACACAGTATGTATGGATGTCTGGGGTTTTCTAATTCAAGATTCTATGCTAAGCCTTTAGCAGAGCTCATAACATTACAGGTAAGTGATACTTTCTGTGTTTTGGAGTGACATGTTTTTTTTTCCCTCTATTCTTCGGATTGTCATGCCAATTCCCTTAACATTGCAGGGGAGGGAGATCCTGCAAAGAACTGTCGATCTTGTCCAGAACCATTTAAATCTAGAGGTCTCTCCTATATTTAGTCTCAGGAAATGCATTTCAGAAGAGACATTAGTAAAGTGTTTCACCATCTCTGCTCTATCAAATCTAAAAAATTAAACATTTTGCTTTTACGTAGGTTATCTACGGTGATACAGATTCAATCATGATTCACAGCGGACTTGATGATATTGAAGAGGTGAAAGCCATTAAATCAAAAGTCATCCAGGAGGTAAGTTAGATAATAGATTTGTCTCTATATAGCTGTCTTTGTTGAAAGGGCTTCTCTGAGCAATTTATAGATTATTACAACAGTATAAACCCAGACATTTGATTTTGGGCATTCTCCTCTCAATTATTTAGGTCAATAAGAAGTATAGATGTCTAAAAATTGACTGTGATGGTATATACAAGAGGATGCTTCTTCTTCGAAAAAAGAAGTATGCTGCTGTCAAGTTGCAGTTTAAGGATGGGAAACCTTGCGAGGTAATCTTTTTTATAAACATTTTTGCAAACCCTTCTTCTAGAAATTTGTGGGTACTAGATGCATTCTCAATGCAGGACATTGAAAGAAAAGGTGTGGATATGGTTCGTCGAGATTGGAGCTTACTCTCTAAGGAAATAGGAGATTTATGCCTGAGTAAAATCTTGTATGGAGGGTATGTTTCGAAACATCCCTGACTAAAGAACATTGGTTTTACTTTCTCATGCAAGCACAACAAGCCTCTTCTTTTTTCGCAGGTCGTGTGAGGATGTTGTTGAAGAAATTCATAACGAACTAATGAAGGTAATCTCTGTTATCATTTATTATTCTTCCTTAATTTGTTTGATCTTCATTATCATCCAACACGTGTTGCTTTGTCCATGGAACAGATAAAAGAGGAAATGAGAAATGGGCAAGTTGCGCTTGAGAAGTATGTCATCACCAAGACATTGACTAAACCGCCTTCAGCTTATCCAGATTCCAAAAGCCAACCACACGTTCAAGTAAGTATGAGAGAGTTATTATTCACTTTATTTGTCCCTGAATATATGCTTTCCATGTATTCACAGAATTTAACTTTCTGATTTGTGTGGGCAAATTATTCTTCACAGGTTGCACTCAGAATGAGGCAACGTGGTTATAAAGAAGGTTTCAATGCTAAGGATACTGTACCATATATAATCTGCTATGAACAGGTTTCCAATTCAGAAGACCAGCTACTTATTATCAGATACCCTATAGGTTTCCTACTAAGTCTTTTATGCTTCCTCGGTGCAGGGTAATGCTAGCTCTGCCAGTTCAGCAGGGATTGCCGAGCGTGCTAGGCATCCTGATGAGGTGAAATCAGACGGCAGCAGATGGTTGGTTGACATAGATTACTACTTGGCACAACAGATTCATCCGGTGGTGTCTCGTCTATGCGCAGAGATTCAAGGAACAAGTCCTGAGCGTCTAGCCGAATGTTTAGGACTTGACCCATCAAAGGTAAAACAGTTTTCATTCAAGCATACTATCGATTCATATTCAGTGATTTCATGATAACTGATTGGAAATAATGTTTTCTTCTAGTACCGAAGTAAATCAAACGATGCTGCGAGCAGTGATCCTTCTAACTCCCTCTTATTTGCTACAAGCGATGAAGAAAGGTAGAGATATCTTTACCATTTGTAATCTGTTATCATATATTTTCTCCACGAATTTGCAATATTCCTAGAACTCAGATCCCCAACAACGTAATTTACATGTAAAAAATGCAGATATAAAAGCTGTGAGCCGTTAGCCTTAACATGCCCCAGCTGCTCTACTGCTTTCAACTGTCCATCTATTACTAGTTCTGTTTGTGCGTCGATTAGTAAGAGACCTGTGACACCTGAAACAGAGAAATCTGATTCCTCATTCTGGCTTAAACTGCATTGCCCGAAATGTCAGCAGGAAGATAGCAATGGAAGAATATCCCCTGCTATGATAGCTAACCAGGTAGTCAAACTTTGTTGAAAAGGATACTAATATGTTACTTTTCTCAGAATATAAAAAACTTCTATTGTTAGGATTTGGCCTGCAGGACAGATGCTTTAGTTATTAAATCATTCTCATGCCTTTCAGGTGAAAAGACAGATTGATGGATTTGTGTCAATGTATTACAAAGGCATAATGGTGGTATGTAAAAGCTTCTGTCGTCGTTTTTTCCCGTAATTCTGAACATTAATTTTTATTAAGTTATGCTGATGACGTTTTCTTGTACATTATGCCTTCAACAGTGTGATGATGAGTCTTGCAAGCACACGACCCGCTCCCCCAACTTCCGCTTGCTTGGTGAACGTGAACGGGGGACAGTTTGCCCAAACTATCCTAACTGTAACGGAACCCTCTTAAGAAAGGTATACGCTCTCATCAGCCTTATAACTCCTATCTCTCTATTGCTTCACAGACTAACTCTTGACTTTGAGCCTTGTCTTATTACAGTACACTGAAGCAGACTTGTACAAGCAACTGTCGTACTTCTGCCACATCTTAGACACACAACATTCTCTAGAAAAGGTTTCTACTTTACAACTTTCTCATCAATTTTTCTTGTCTATATCCCTAAAGTTATGGCTGCCATTTGAAATAACAGATGGATGTTGGCATGAGGATTCAAGTAGAGAAAGCAATGACTAAGATAAGACCTGCGGTTGAATCTGCAGCAGCCATCACTAGAAGTATTAGAGACCGGTGTGATTATGGATGGCTGCAACTCACAGACATAACAATTTGATAGTTGTAATACTCATCTCATGTAACTAAATTAATCTTTTATATAATCTTCTTCAGACATCATTATAATCAAACTACTCAGTTTTGTTCATTCCTAAAGCCCATTATTAGCATTACTATAACTGAACATTGAAAACTGGCAAATACTATAACTAAAAAACATTTGGACTCCTGCGTCTGGCACAAACTAGAGGAAGTCTGACCAGTTTGACGCCGGATCATCATCACTGTCTCTGAATGTTATCTTCAAAACAGAGTGGCTGCGGAAAAGCACATTTCTTGGCTTGCTTGAGGTATTTCTAGGGAGTGAGGAGCAGCAAGAAGAGTCTCCAGGTTCAGGTCTTGCTCTAAGGTCTCATTGATCAATGTCTGTGTTGGAGGTAGAACCGGTGGTAACCGAATTGGGTTTAGGCCTAAACCATTCATAACGGCTAAAGTCTGCATTAAGCAGGTATTAAGTTATGTTCAGATGATGGCTTTTGCAAATCAGACATTGATAGTATATGATCTAAGCAAGTAATTAGAGAACCTGCACTTGAAGTTGAAGCTGCTTCAGATATTCAATAGCTTCATCAAGCATAGAGGCTTTATCAGTCTACAAACAAAAGAAGAAGAAAAAAATAAAATCAAAACACAACACTGTTTCTCACATCTCTGATTCGAACATCTTTCATACCTTGTTGGAATTGGGTATGAGTTTCTGCAAAGCTTTCATTTTCTCGTTGATCTTGCTCCTCCTCTTCTGCAAAAAAAAAAAAAAACAACATCTAGTTATTAAAATCTCTCAATTAGTTAGGCTGTTTGTTTTCTTTCATTTCAAAATAGGAATCTTGAAAGGATAAAAAGAAGAAACCTTTTCAGACAAGTTGTGGAAGTGTGCATCCATGTTTCTCTTCAACGAATTTTTCTGTCTGCCTCCATTTCTCTTCAGTGTTACCCATTACATTACATACAAAAGAAAAAAAAAAAGAAACACAAATTTTGGTTTTGTTTTCTTTCTCAACCAAAGCCATTGAAGTTTCTTGGCAACTAAAAAAAGCAAGTTAACCTTGTTTTCGAAAGCGTATTTGTCTTGGCTAGTTTCAGCGACTCCATTACCGACGGAAGGGAAGGTCTCACCGGAGGAAACACTTGTCTTGGGTGGTGAAGAAGGATGAGCTGTCGGAGCACGGGAAAGAATCTGTCGGAGAAAGCTCGAGAGTTCGTCGGAAGAAGATGCAGGAGCAAGACGATCACCAACGTCAGAATCACCCATAACTCTCTCTCTCTCTCTCTGTTTACTACACTGTGTGGCTTTTCGTAGTAAAAGGTTTATTATAGGCGGGGAGGTAGGTGCGTGAGAACACGCCCATAGGAGAAGCGCGTGAGGGCTTTAAAGAGTGAGTGGCGTGCCGAATCCCTATAGACATAATCTGGTGTCTCACTCACATCACTTATGTTGTGAATAGTTCCCTTTGTAATTTTGTATTTACTTCACACAACTATATAGTTAAAATCAAACTATGAACTGACTAGATTTTTTACCCAATTTAAACAAGGAAAAAAAAAAAGTAAAATGTTATTATTTTTAAAACATTATTATGGACTAAAAGTAAAAAAAAAAAAGGAAAAATAAATGTAAAAAAAGGAAAAAAAAAAGTAGAAAAAAGTAAAAAAAAAATTATTTTCTTTTTGGTTTTCTTTCAATGTGATAAGTAAAATATAGATAAAGATATTTAACCATTTTAGTAAATGAAACGGTTGAACAAGTGTATTGATAAGATAGAGCATTGATAGTCATAAAGTATACTATTTAATTATTATTACGACTAAACATGAAAAAGGACAATTACTTGAAAAGTAAGGTCTTGCACCAGTTTCACCATTTTTGACAAATTATTACAGAAAAAAAAAAAAAACTTAAATCTTTTTTTTTTCTTTTTGTTTTTGTTGTCCAGTGTCGTCCACAGGTAAGAAACGTCCGTCTTGGGCGATAATAAACTTAAAACTGCATGCATTTCGGAAGATTATGTTTAACATAAAAAAGAAAATGAAAGAGGGTCCGAAGGGGAAAACTACATAAAGCATCCCAAGGGAAAATTAAAAAAGCAAAGCAATGGGCAGTCAGAAATAAGAAATCAAGTCAAGCTTGACATGTTTCTACCCTAATAAAACAATTAAACAACTGGCTGGTTGCAAAGAGGACACTTGTTCCTGACCATTAGCCAGTCCCTGATGCATCCGAAGTGATAGTCATGCCCACAATCCAGTTTCGAAGCTTCTTCACCTTGCTTCAACTTGTCCTGACAGATCACACATATCTCCGATTCATCACTGCTGTTTTCATACATCCTTCTTCTTACGTTCTCATCAGTGACTTCAACGGTTAGCCCAGCGTTGACACCTTCTCTTACATTTTGTGGGCGATTGAAAATTTGTGCCTAGGAAATTTTTTAAAAAATATAACATTTCAATTTTTTTTCTAAAGTGTTGTGTAAATATTTTCCCATCCTAATTCCACGAATATTGTTTTCATAAGCTCTAAATATATTTTAATGCTAAGATAGATATGCAATACCTCGTACGCGATGACGTCTTCATGAGAGGGTACAACGAATACATATTCGTCTGATGATGAAGCTGTTTCGGATTGCGCCTCACTGTTCCATGGGCGGAACCAATCCTCGATCACTTCTACCTATACAATTTCCACAAGTCTATTATATTAAAAAAGCTTTCTTTCTCTTTATCCAAAAAGATAAAAAAAAAAACATTAGTAAATTTTTAGGTATACACTTTAACAATTCTTTTACTCAAGAAACCAAAATGGAACATATAACCTTATCAAAGAAAGTTATTCTTTGGAAAATACAAATACAACTGACTAAATTACCAACACTAAAAGCATTTAAAATTAATGTTATCTCCCAAAAAACTGTAAAGTTCTAAGATACAAGTTTATAGCTAAGTTACTACTAAGCTAGTAACTCACCACTTCATTTAACAAAAAAAAAATCCATAGATTCAATATTAATCATAGTAGCAGTATTCAAAATTTGCTGCGCAAACACAAAAATCAAATACCAAACAAAAAGACGCACTAAATAATAACGTAGATATCACAGAATATCTATATATAAAACAAATAATTTTATCTTTTTTTTTTTGAATTTTGTGTAAATAGTTTTCCATCCTAGTTTTGTGAATATTGTTTCATAAGCTCTAAATGTATTTTAATGCTAAGATATATATACAATACCTCGTATGGGATGATGTTCTCGTGAGAAAAAAAATCTACATATTCGTCTGCCGATGATGTTGTTTCATAGTGCACACTGATCCACTCGTTGTTCGATTCTACCTAGACAATTTTCACAACTCTATTATACCCAAAAGCTTTATTTCTCTTTCTCAAAAAAAAAAAATACATTAGTAATTTTTTCTTTATACAAACTCTAATAATTCTTTTACTCAAAAAACCAAAAATATTCACTACTTCTTCTAAAAAGATGCATAGATTCAGTATTAATCATAGTGGCAATATTCAAAATTTCCCTCGCAAACACATAAATTTAAAACTAAACATAAAGACGCGCCAAATGATAACGTAGAATTTACGAAATATCAAAATATGAAAACAAATCATTTTTATTTCTTTCTTTCAAGTTTTGGGTAAATAGTTTATCATCCTAGTTCTGATAATATTGTTTCATAAGCTCTAAATATATTTTAATGCATATATATATATATATATATATATATAAATAAATACCTCGATGATGAGTTCATGAGAGGATACATCTTGGCTAAGTGATGATGCTGTTTGAGATTGCTCACGGTTCGATAAGTTGAACCAGTCCTCGATCAATTCTACCTATACAATTTCCACAAGTCTATTATATCCAAAAGCTTTATTTCTCTCTATCTCTCTCTCTCTCAAAAAAAAAAAAAGAAAAAAAAAAAGATAATTACCCGAGTAAGTGCCACTAGACGTAAATCAGGCTCAGTTGTTGGTGAGATGGCATAAGCGTCAGCAGTTGGGTTAGTGTCAGGTGAATCAGACTCAGTTGTTGGTGGGATGGCATTAGCGTCAGCAGTTGGGTAAGTGTCCCAAAGTTCCCAGTCGTCGTCAAGCAAAAGCCTTTGGTAGCTAAAAGAGCTATCAGCAACCTCCTCCTCCCCCTCGTCCGGGATCCGAGAGTTGTTGTTGTTGTCGTCTCCCTCTTGATCCATACTTTTGGAGAAATTTACTCTACCTGATGTGACAAGGAGGTGCTAATCAACTTGTACAGTATTTATAATGACAAGTAACACTAGGTTTAACTCTTGTCTTGAAATGCAAATTTCTTGAGTGGTCAGGATTAGTCTTAATTTGATAAACTAATACAAGAAAAAAAGACGTTTATCACCACAAAACAATATCTTGTGTGTCTCCTCTGTTAAAAGGAAAAAAAATACAATGCCAAATTAAGTTACAAGTTTCATATACACACATGCATGCCCATGGATTAAATGATTTTAGCTACTTTAAGGATAAAAATGGTTTTTAACAAATCTACTTAAAGGGGGAAAAGACAAACGATTTACCATTTTTGGGTAGATTTGAGTCCACAGATGCTAGGAAAATACTACTTTGACAGCTAATCAAATTGGAACTTTGCTAGACTAAGGAGATTTGTTTTAAAACCTGCTTTATTAATAGTTAACTTTTTATAATTAAAATTGTCTTTATTTTATAAATTGCATTTACTCTCAATGGAAACTATCATTTATAATGCCAAAAACTAATAAATGTATTAATTTCTGTCTTTTTGTAAATTTCTGCTTTCCAACATCATTTGAAGTAACGCTTCCTTTTTTTTTTTTTTTATAAACCGGAGCGAGAAACGCAAAGTTGGTTTTTCCCGGTAGTTAGATGATACCGTTACTTGAGTCTTCTGGGCTTTAAAGAGATCATTTGGGTCCAATTAACAGAAGCGAGTTCCAATTAAATACGTAAATGGGCCTGACGCTAGAGGATAATTAGACTTCTGCCCATTTTAGACGTCTCTTAAAAACACATCACAAGAGTAACTATAAAAACTTGATTTATATAACTGGAAGTGATTTGTAAATTGTAATATTGGTTTCTCTCAAAATCACGTATTATTTTAGATTGGATATGTAAAGAGCTCACTAGTGTCGTCGATTCGTATATGTCTCTGTATGACAAATTAGGCATGGTGATAATGTAGATAAAAGTTTCATCTTTTTTTTTTTTTTTGTCGCCTCGTTTCATCTAGACATTATAAAGGTTATTCCATATAGAGAAATTGGTGAGATGTTGAAGTAACTTTTGTGTGATCATATGAAAATAATGACATTTTTTTTCCCTTGAAAGAAGCAAAGAAAGAGACAAGCAACAAGACAAGAGTGTCCCCACGCATGTGACCACCGTAACGTTTAGCCATATTAGAAAAAGATATCAATTATATTGGTTAGGTGAATTGAAGAATACAAATTTTAATTTATGCAATTGTATATAATTTATTAATTATTATCAACATCTCTATATCATTTGTAGAAAGATCAATTATATATCACTATTAACAACATATAATAATATCATCATTGCTAATTTTTGACAGACTCTTCCGCAGAAACACTGTTTCCACAAATTTCAAGTAGGTATTGACAAAACAGTCACTAGAAACTGTATTACTGTTGTTTATTATAATGTTTTAAAAAGGTAATTGTCGCTCTAAATTGAGCTATCTTCTTAAATCTTACTTATCAAGTGGGTTACCTTCTTTACTAATCGTTTCTTCATTTTCTCTTTTGGGAGAGGTGGGAAAAAGATTCAACCTTTGTCTAAGAAAAGAAAAACAAAAAAGATGCTTAATCTGTTTCTTTTGTTCCTCTCTTCAAGGATTAACATATCAATGATGCCCGGGTTTTAGTACCTAAACATCTCTTTTGTCTTGTCTTAGAAAAACCTCCTCAAGCAACTACAGTAGATCGAACATCACTCAGATTTCTCTCTGTTTGTCTCTTTCTCTCTGCATAAGCTAAGGAGCGATGTCGGCGTGCATCAATGGCTTATGCAGAGCCGTAACAGTGTCGCTTCTCCTACATCTTTTTCCCTTCTCCTTCTTCTTCTCTTTTTCCTCAGCTTGCTCTAATGGAAATTGCCAGGTTCTTGATTCTCTTTGCTTATTATTCCTCTGTTTATGGCTATCAAATTGGGGTCTAAATCTTTAGGGATTTGGCATTTTTTTCTGTGTGTCCTTCTCAGATGCTGGATTCATGTTCCTCAGCCACTGATTGTGTCCCAGGTTTATATTGTGGAGACTGTCCTGCCGTTGGGAGAAGTAAACCCGTCTGCACAAGAGGCCAAGCCACAAGTCCAACTTCCATTGTAAGATTTAGTTTTTTTTTTCATTTAATTGGGTTTTGATTTTCCAGTCTGAAAATGTGTATTTCATAGATAGTGTAGATCAATTGGTTGTATCACAAGTTTTAAACTTTGAAGATGGGTTTTGCTAAAAATATTATTTGGTTCTATCAAAATAGTGTAGATCATGTGGTTATATCAAAAGTTTTGAACTTTGAAGATGGGTTTTACTGAAGAATTCATTTGGTTGTATCAAAAGTTTTGAACTTTGATGATGGATTTTGCTGAAGATTTCATTAGTTGTAGCAAAAGGTGTAGATCATTTGGTTGTATCAAAAGTTTTGAACTTAAAGATGGGTTTTGCTTGCTGAAGATTTGTTCAAACTTTGTGGTGATGAAATCTGTGTTTTCTGTTGTAGATAAATGGATTGCCTTTTAACAAGTATACATGGTTGATGACTCATAATGCCTTTAGCAATGCAAATGCACCGCCTTTGCCAGGTGTTGAGAGGATTACATTTTACAATCAAGAAGATACCATTACTAATCAGCTGCAAGTAATGTCCTTATTTTCCAAACTCTTATATTGGATTCCTCTTTCTTGGGTAAAACTCTTGAATATGTTTTCTTTATTTGCTCTAGAATGGCGTTAGAGGGCTAATGCTGGATATGTATGACTTCAACAACGATATCTGGCTTTGCCATTCCCTTCGAGGGCAATGTTTTAACTTCACCGCTTTTGTAAGATATTTCTTGAGCGTAACTAATAAACTGTTTGGATCGAAAGTTGAAACCCGAATGGATTGGTTAATGTGAAATTTGTTTTCTTTTTGAATCAGCAACCTGCAATTAACACACTGAGGGAAGTTGAGACATTTCTGAGTCAGAACCCAACAGAGATTGTTACTATCATAATTGAAGATTATGTGCACAGGCCTAAAGGCTTATCAACTCTGTTTGCGAACGCTGGTTTGGACAAATACTGGTTTCCTGTTTCGAAAATGCCCAAAAAGGGAGAAGATTGGCCTACTGTGACTGATATGGTGCAAGAGAATCATAGACTCCTGGTTTTCACTTCTGTTGCTGCGAAAGAAGATGAAGAAGGTGTAGCTTATCAATGGAGATACATAGTTGAAAATGAGTGTGAGTATATTACAAAAAGTTTAAATCTTTGATATCTAAATTTTCTCTGAGAATAATCTTCTCTTACAACTTTCTTATTGTTGTGTAAAGCTGGGGATCCCGGGGTGAAGCGAGGTTCTTGTCCTCACAGAAAAGAGTCACAACCTTTAAACTCAAAAAGTTCATCGCTTTTCTTGATGAATTACTTCCCGACAATTCCGATTGAGAAAGACGCTTGCAAGGAGCACTCAGCTCCACTTGCTGAGATGGTTGGGACTTGTCTCAAGTCAGGAGGGAATAGAATGCCAAACTTTCTAGCTGTTAACTTCTACATGGTATTGAATCAATCATAAAACTAAAACATGACAGTTTTTGCGAGATTTTGCTAACAAAACCATAATATTGCAGAGAAGTGATGGAGGCGGCGTTTTTGAAATTCTGGATAGAATGAATGGACCGGTACTTTGCGGCTGTCAGACTCTTGCGGCTTGCCAGGTAATAGCTTGTCTACTTGCGCTAACATTACTTACGGATATGAAACCATCTAAAACGGCTACCCGAATTTTGGTTCTTGATGTTACAGCCAGGGGCAGCTTATGGTTCATGCAAAAATGTTACTCTACAGACAAGAACTCCAAACATGGATTCAACAGCTGGAAGTTACTCAGGTGGAAGCTACTCAGGTTCAGTTCAGTTCTCAAAATCCTTAGCTTCTGCAGTCTATCCACGAAACACCGTTGTTGTCTTCTGCTTCTCATGGCTTCCATTGCTGATTTTTCTACTATGACACACCCAATTAAACCATTTGGAGAGATTCTTAGGTTAGAGAATCTTGATCACTTCTTTAGGACGAATGAGAGATCCTAAGTTCAGGAAACATGAGCTGCCTTAGAAAACGTGCCCGATTTTATTCTTGCATTGTAGACTGCAGAGTTATAGGCAGAAATCTTATGTATGTGTGTCTTCAGCTTCTGTTGAATGTTATGCAACTTATATATATATATATAGACACAATTCTACTCCAATAGAAACTTTACTGAATAATTTTTATATATGTTATTGATGGGAGAACAGAATATATATGTGGATTCAATTTCATGAATTACTATGTACACAACAAGCAAGTAAAATGTAGAACAACAACACTAGACAGCATGCAGCAATGGTGGAGGATTCTGAGCATTGAGGAGCAGTTGAATGGGTTTGATCTGAAGTGCAGGACTGATAGTAAGTAAAGCAATGAAGCAATCCACAGGAACTCTAGTTCCCCATAAGTTGATGGATTCAAGTTTTCTGCATTTGTTTACAAGAACCAGAAGGCCTCTCTCTGTCACATGGCGGCAACACCACATCCCGATTGTCTGAATAAGGGATTCCGATTTCAGAAAGTGATTCTAATGATTCCAGAGAGAAAAGTAGATGGATATAGATGATCCTTGTTACCTTAAGATGATGGCAGCGTTCTGCAATGGCGAAAAGAGACTCATCGGTTATAAAAGTTCCTCCTATGTTTAGGTGTTGCAATGAAGAAGTTCTTGATATCTGTCAAATAAAATTCAAGATTCTCTGAGGTGACGAACAAATATTCAAGATTCCAGTTCCACATATAAAGAAAAAAGTATTTACATTACCAGTTGAACAACACCGGAATCAGTAATGGCAGTCATGCCCCATAAAGAGACAGAGTTTAGATTGGCTACACATCTTGCAGAAGCTATCTGGTGAAGTCCATTATCAGTAATATGACAACCCCATCTGCTTCTAGATCTACAAATATTGAAAACAGAAGCTATATGAAGAAAACAGAGCTTGTATTTGACCAAGTCAAACTCCCTGAAGATAAAGCTGGAAACTTGATCATAGAAGAAGAAGCAGATACAGAGAGGGAGAGAGAGAGATTACATGTCGAGTTCTTTGAGGTTGTAAGCAAGGTGAACGAGACGAGAAGTAGAATCGTCGTCCATTCTCCAACCAGCAAAGCTCAGAGATTCTCTTCTCGCCATCGATTGATTCACAGCTTTCCTCCATTTCTTGCAAACCCCACTTGCCCTAAAAGACAACAAACAACTTCAATCTCTTACAAGAACTGAAAAAGGATCAAAATTTGAAACGATCATGAAACACATACTGCGCCAAAACGGTGAAAGAAGTAACAAACGAGAATATATAAGCCAGAAGGTCTAACGGCAAACGATCGATCGCTGCTTCTTCATCCATGACTTATATATGAGTAAAGAGAAGAGCTTCTTCAATCAAAATCCTGCAGAAGCTTTTATGTATCAAGAAAAGATTGTAATATATATGCGAAACTCGTTTTCATCAATAGATGTTCATAATCATAATTGCAGAGGAAGAAGAAGAAGAAGATGTTGTCATTTTCAGTTTAACTGCAGAAGATGTGGTCATCGTTCCGTCATACTTTTGAATCGTTTTTAATTTAATTATTTATATGGTTTAATTAAATGTTTTTATTACACGGTCCAACATTTTGCGTGGGAAAAACATACACTCTACCCGGTCTTTTTCTTTTGTACGCCACGTGGCACATGCCACACCCGACGGATCGTTTTTAAGATCTTTCTTTTCACTCATTAACAATACATTTTTTTTTTGTTACTTCACAAAATATTTAAATGTTAGTGATTGATAATTTGATATAACATATACTTAGTATTCAATGATTTTTATCCACGATAACAGTAAAGAAGGAAACTTGTCTAAATAGAGATTTTGCTGAAAAGATTCGTTTCACATCCTCCAAATTTTCAACAGATATCATGAGTTGTAAAACTTGTAAAGAGCAAAGACCACATATCAGATGATACGAAGAAAATTGTATCCACACAGACAATACGAGTTTGGCACAGACTCTATTTCTCGGTTTGCCAAACAAAATTCTAAGAGATGAAACTCTTGAAAACTTAAGCAAATCGAATAAATTCACACGTGAATTTATTTAAAGTACATATGATTCGGATGATTTCACTTATACAACACATACATGTTTCAAAAACTCTACATCAGTCGATAATTTTTCCAAAACAGTAGACGATAAACACGTCTGAATCTCGATGTTTCCTTGTTCTGTTCCAGGATAAGCAATGAGTTTGCCATCACAAGTATTTCCCGGTCCAGCTCGAACCGCAATCGGTTTACCCCAGCCAAAATCATTTCCATATACATTGAACCGAGGAGAGCTAGCAATCACTATAGAGTTGCTCAAAGCCTTAACATTCATTATACTCGGTCTCTTCACCCAATCCGCAGCAAACTCTCTAACCTTTTCATTCGTTTGTGAACCAACACTTGTGTTTATTTGCAAAGCAGCCCAACCAAGACCATTGTTAAGCATCTCCGCGACGGTGGTCGTCGCCGTAGCGAACCCGACCATATTCCCGAAACACTCTTTCTTAAGCGGAGGGTCTAGTCTTTGCCTCATATCCACCAGTAACTTGCAATGAATCACTTCTTCCGGACTCAATTCACTGTTTCTGATTATCGATCTCCACATATACGCCGAAACCGCTTGAAGCGACGATATCTTCCGGTCATCAACACTAACCTCGCCGTTGGCTTTCGCTTTCAGCTCAGAGACGTTTCCACTTGTGAATCGAAAAATCTTCTCTTGTATCAACGATGAAGTAACAACAACCCGGTTCGGTGTGTCTGTCTCTGAGGTCGGAATTCGAATCGGATACTCAATCCCGTCGAGAAACCATCCACGGAGAAGCAAAGGAGGAAACTTTCTCCGGTGATGGGGATCAAACCCGTTAAAGCAAATCTCCGACCAAGAATTGAAGAAACTCCAAAACGAAGATCCATCAGCAACTATATGGTTATAACCAAATCCAATAAAAACTCCATCTTTCAGTTCCGTTACTTGAAACGCGATTAACGAATCAGAGATCCCTTCACAGCTTGTAACTCCGTTCGCCGGGAAAAAACGTTTCAAGAAATCAGGGACATGACCATCGAGAGGCTCTAAAACATCACTCACCGAAACGGATTTAGCTGAAGCGTGGATGAATTTGGCACCTGAACCATCACAATCTACGTGAAACGACGCTGTTCCGTCGTCTTGGTTCTCGACCTTGACGAGACGACCGGCGAATGGGTAAAAGATGTTCAAAGCGACGGAGAGAGAGGATTTTAATCGAGAGACAAATTGGGTTTCCGGGTCGGGTTGAGGAAAGAGAAGACCTCTTTGTGGGTATTCGGATCGAAGAAAGAAGAGATCCCATGGAGTGAGATGGATCTTAACCCGATCCGATTCCTCGTTGTAGCTCTCTGGTCGTACTATGCTCTTAGAGATCACTTCAACAACTTCATCTCCCATGTTTTTTTTTTTTTTAATTTCGCAACCAGAGAATAAAAACTATCCAACTACTACGGTAGTACATTTACTTATCCTCGTACAAATCAGACATGATCACACATCACATACCAAACAAACTGAGCTACACAACGTGTTTCACACTTGGATAAAAACTGTGCTAGGTAGACCGTTATTGGGTTACATAATTGAGCCCATTACTGTCCGTAGGCCCATTATCAACTCTGGTGGCGAGTCTAGCGGGATCCGGTTAGATACAATCTCATTACAAAAAACAAAAAGCACTACATATCTAGATTTTGTACACATAAACTTAGACACGAGACTTGCACAATACCAAACTACTGAGATAGCCCATTAAGACTCCCTAGGCCCATTATTAATATTTTTTTAGTGAAAGTTTTTTGACTGAGATCGGCAGATTGCGGCAAATCCGGCGGCGAGCGTAGTCGATTCCGGTCAGGTACGTTCCCGTTTATGAGTCTCTTGATGTATTTGAATCGATTCGTTGATGGTAATCCAGCACGAAAAAATTGCATTGAATTCGGTGAATCTTGAACACGAGAGAGTCCAGTCAGTGGTTTCGCTTAGTGTTACACATTCAATTTACTGAAGCAAATCATCTCATACAATGTGCACATACTCTTTAAATCCAACATCATTCAATAATTTATCCACTACGTGAGGCTGTAAGCAAGCCTGAAAATCAATACTCTCTTGATCGATTCCTTGGAACACAACGAGTCTCCCATTGAGATACGGTGGTCCAGCTCTTGCAGCTATCGGTTTACCCCAACCGAAATCGTTGCAGTACATATCGAACCGGTGTGAGTTTGTGACCACTAAATCTTTGCTGCCAACAGAAACTGGAATCTTGACATTTTTCACCCAATTCTCTGCAGATTCTTTTGCTTTTTCATCCGTTTGTGACAGCTCCATTTTGTTGATTTGCGTAGCCGCCCAGCCTAGCCCTTGGTCCAGCAGCTCCCCAACCGTGACTGTGGCTATCCCGGTCTGGCTCACATTCCCAAAACACTCTTCTCCTAGCGGTGGATTGAGTCTTTGCCTCATGTTTATAGGCAACCTGTAATGGGTCTCTTCTTCTCGGCTCATGCCACTGTGCTCGACCATTGAACACCATATATGTGCTAACACTGCTTGAATAGACGAGATCTTTTGATCAGCCTCGCCGTTGGCTTCAGCTTCCAGTTTCAAAGCATTATCCTTTGTGACATGGAACATCTTCTCTTGTAAATTGGTTGATGTTACAAAACTAGTTGGTTTTGTTTCAGGGTCTGGGATATGGATTGGATAATCAATCCCATCAAAGAACCAACCTTTGAGTTGAAGATGACGTTGCAAGGTCTCGGATCCCGAATCCTTGAAGCAAATCTCAGACCATGCGTTGATGAACCTCCAGATTGAACTGGCGTCAGCCACAGTTGAGTTGTAACCGAAGCCGATGAATATCCCGTCTTTCATCTCTGTCACTTGAACCATAAGTAAAGATCTTGAGACACCGTGGTAGTTCTTGATTCCGGTCGCAGGGAAAAAGGAACTGAAGAAACCAGGGACAGAACCAGACAGCTTAAGTACATCACTGAGCTGGATGTCTTTAGCCACGGCGTGAACAAACTCCACACCTGAACCATCGCAGCTGATGAAAAACGAAACAGTATCGTCTTCGTTCTTTACCTTGACAAGACGACCAGCTAGAGGATAGAAACCATCAAGTGCAACAGAGAGTGAAGCTTGCAATCGAGAGACGATGATGTCAATTTTGGGATCAGGTTTGGGAAAGAGAAGACCTCTTTGAAGATAACCAAAGCGAAGACGAGCGAGATCCCATGGAGTCAGATGAATCTTCTTCTTCACAGTAGTCGGTTCCTTAAAGTTTCTGAGACTTACGATGCTCTTTGAGATCACCACAAAGTTTCCTTCCATCGTTACGGAGCTTTTTGGGTAAACGTGAGGCTCTCTTTCTTCTCGAAGGCAATCGTGACTTCTGTATGTATAAATGAGTCCATTAATTAACCTGACCAACAAACAGGTTACATCATATACTTTATATGGTACCACTAATAATTAAAGACTCTGTGCCCTCCCTCGTTTTTCATATTTTATTTTGGTATTTTGTGATATGTATAATACAACAAACCTGTTTAACAGAAAACAAGTATAAACAAAGACTAGGTTCGTGTAACTGAATATAAAATCTCTGTTAAGAAAAAAAAAAATCTAAATGATTGGCTCGTATTTGGCATTACTTTTATCTTCTTTTGTTAAAGTATGACTTTATAATGTCTTTATCGTTGGTTGATGCTGATGCTGATGCTGATGCTGATGCTGATGCTGATGCTGATATAAAATTTTAGTGCAATACAACACATGAATGTCAATAATTTAACAATTACAAAGTATATTTATTAATTGACTTCAATTCTTGGATTCTTTTTTTTTGGGTCAACTGGATTAATATTGAGTTAAAGATAGGGTTTACAAAGAGACTTGAGGAAAGTCATACCAGTGTACATGATACAGAACTAATATAAATGTTTTTATATGTTAAGCTAATAGCGTGAGTTTTGATAATGTTTCACTCACACACACAGAGATGGTAGAAAAGTCACGAGACAAAACACATCAATCGTGTAAAATTGTTGACCAAAGCATAAAGCCATGAAGCAATATCCACATCCACTAGTCCAATGTCTGTAGTTTCGAAGCTTGATGGGCCTCCTGAAGGCCCATTTTGATACAGTTTTATTGGTTAAACAATTATCGGGCCCAATAGTCTAGTACATGATTGTTCTTCTATACGTATGTCACCGGAGAATCCGGCGGCGACGAAACGGTTCAGAATTTTGATTCTGCTTCTCATTGTGCCGCCGCAACTACCCGACTAACTAGCTTTCATATTCCTTCCATCTGATTTGATAATGGCGAAAACTAAGCAACAAAAATCTAAGCCTAAGAAACAACCGCATCAGGTTCGTCATGTTTCTCCAAGCCTTTTATTTTAATTTCGATTTGCTTATTAAACTTCAACATATCTGATTTTAAAATTCCTCTATTGCTGCTGCTTTGGTTCAACACATATTCGATTAGTATTGTCCTGTTATGCTATGTCGTATCATTGTAAAGTTTTGTGTTTTCCGTTGTTTGATTGATTCATAGGTGAAGAAGAAGAAACAAGGAAAAGATTGTGATCTCTCTCAGTTTCGTGCTCAGCTTGACGCTTTAGGGCTTAAGATTATCCAAGTTACTTCAGACGGTAATTGTTTCTTCAGGTCTGTGTTTTTGTTTTGATCATCGAATTCGTTTATGTTTGAGAAGACAAAGCAAATTGTGTAAGATTGACTTGTGATTATTCTCTTCACAGGGCACTTGCCGATCAACTAGAAGGCAATGAGGATGAACACAACAAGTACCGTAACATGGTTGTACAGTATATAGTGGTAAGTAAGTGGCATTTCATACAAGTCTAGATTTTTGGAAGTACCCACCTATATATATATATATACTCTCAATGGCTTTTACAGAAAAATCGTGAGATGTTTGAGCCTTTTATTGAAGATGATGTCCCCTTCGATGATTACTGTAAAACCATGGATGACGATGGCACTTGGGCTGGGAATATGGAACTACAGGCTGCTTCTCTTGTCACACGCAGTAATATTTGTATTCACAGGGTAACAATAATGCCTCTTTTCATGATCTGTTCCCTTTTAACACATACGTCTGTTTGAGCATTTGTCTATTTGTTGTAGAGCATGTCACCGCGTTGGTATATACGCAATTTTGAAGATACACGAACCCGCATGATCCATCTGTGAGTACTTGATTCTGCTGATTACATGTATGATCTGCTAAGATGGAGATTTTTGAATTTGCATGTATTTAATAGTTCCTTTTGAAGGTCGTACCACGATGGGGAACATTACAACAGTGTGCGTTCCAAGGAAGATGCTTGTGGGGGACCAGCCAGACCTGTTATAATAGAGGTTTTACTTCAAACCTTAGCTCGCTGTTTATAGTATACATAAATGTCTGTGTCTCTGTCCTAATAAATTCCAGTTTTGTGAAAGGCTGATGCTAAAGTTTCAGCAGCAGCTAAACAAGCGAAAGCCACAGAGAGCAAGTCCAAAAACAAAGATGATAGACGTAGTGTGGATGCTGGGGATATCAAAGTGGTTATGTCTGGTAGTTGCTGTGACAATGCTGAAAAAGCTGAACAGGTGATAAGACGATACTTGTTTAATGTGTAAGAAAATATGATCATTTGTTATCTCTTATCCGGAATCTCCCTTTAGGTTCTAGTACAAGTAAATGGTGATGTCGATGCTGCGATAGAATTCCTGCTAGCAGAGAAGGGAATGGATTCTTATGATTCAGAAACCGCCTCTGCAGCAGATACCACAAATGCAAAGGAAGTAATTGATAGTACAATGGATAATAACGAGCAACACAAAGAAGAATTGAACCAGGAGGAATCAGCTACCTGCAGTGACATCGAAACAGTCCATGCCAAGTGCAGTTCACAGATTGATGATAAGGTTCGTTGACTCAGTTAAACATGAGAAAGCTTTTTCCTTTAGATTGCATAAAGGATATGAACGGATTTTTACAAAAACTGCAGAAGGTCCCGAGGAATAAATCCTGTCCATGTGGTTCTAAGAGGAAATACAAGTCTTGCTGTGGAACAGCAACTGGGAGATCCTCTGTTAAACTATTAGTGTAAGTTTCTTAAATCTGTCCTACTAAACTTTCAAAACAGGACTGAACTTAAGATCAGAGTTTACTAATTAATTTGCAGGAGCCAAACAATGGAGTCGAAGAAGGGAAGGAAGAATACGAGGAGAGGAACATCAGATGAAGTTGAAGCTATTGCACCAGATGTTGGTGCTCTGTGTATATAATATATTACTCAGTCAAATAAGGTGATTACACTTTCACTATTCACACCAAAACCCTTTTGTCTGTTTTAAGCGAAAACAGTGAGTGGTTACTATAAAGAGGTTTGGTTTCTCTCTTTTACAGGGGAAAACTGATGATTATTTGAAGACTCACTGCAAATTTCACAAAACAGCTTCAGGTCTGTTATTAGTATGAAATTCAGTTTAGGATTTAGTAGCTTTTGTTGTCTGATTAAATTATTGAAAGAAGTAACTCTTATATCGACCCAAGAGCATATATACTCACATAGACGGAGCCAAAAAAAAAATAACTCGAGAAATGGTAATTCAAATGATCCAAAGCATATTTGGATTCACTCTAAGCTCAGATGATGAATGAATCAGTGACGAAATAAGTGGAAGTTGTTAGGAGTGTGGTGGTGCCAAGGAGAAGGGTGAGGAGAGAATCCTGATGATGCTGCTGCCATTCCCGCTCGTTTTCCTCCACCGTCTGATTGTTTTTCCGATCTGACTGCTGTCGTCGTCATGGCTAGCGATAGATCACTCCCCAGTGATCTTTCCTCATCTCTAGTCCTATTCTTTAAAATGTCATCAAAACCAAATATAACAATTTTCTTAATTATCTTCAAACAAAACCAAAATGATATATATAAACAAACACGAACATGAACACTCTTACATCGGATTTGAATCCTAACTCTTCCAAGTTTGATTCTCCCAGACTTAGATCAAGATTATGACCATTCCACTTCATCTCTGTTGGGGTTTACCAGGAAATTGATGATTGGGGGTAAACTTGTGTTTTTTCTCAAGGCTAAAAATAAAATATTACCTGGGATAAGGTCTTCTTCCTCGTATACTTTAGGGTCAAAATTGGTGACTGCATCTTTCCCGTTACACTTTATTGCGGCTTTATCATAAGCTCTGTATTCAAAATCGCATGTGTAAAAAGTTAAATATTTCGTACCAATATTTATTATTTGAAACGTGATGATGCGACGGTGAACAACAACATAACAGTACCTTGCAGCTTCAATCTCGGTATCAAAGAGACCCAGATAAACGTACCTTAAATGAGAAAGAAATCAAAACAAACAGGACACATTCGAATTAATGAAGAAAGAAAAGTTTTAAAATTTGACTAAAAAAACCTTCAAAGTAAATTTACTACTTTTTGTTGAGAAATTGACCCAAACGAGACTCCCATCTACCACATTTGTGCAAAGTAACACCTCTGTATTTAGAACTGCCTCTTGGAAACCCAGTGCTTTGCCTTCTAAGAACATGCATAAACTCTTCCTTTGTCAAATTTCCCATCTGCACACACACACACAATAGCAAATATTTTTAACAGTATTTTTCTTCTGACTAGTATTAAAATCACTAGAACCTAATAATATATAACCTGTTTCAAATCGTCCATGTAGTCTTCAATGTCGAAATTAATATCTGCATCTGCACCTCTAAATTTAATTGCCGCTCGATCGTAGGCACTGCCACAAATAATTACTAACCCAAAATTAATTCTATAACTAGGTAAAAAAGAATAGTACTAAAGTATTAGGTTCATGCTAATTGATTATTTGGTAGAGGAAACATACCGAGCAGCGGCATGTGCTGTGTCAAATCCACCTGCATATGCATATGTAATGTAACACCAATCAGAAGAAACAAATATGGACACACACATAACAGTAGATTCGTAAACAAATTGATATGAACCCATACCTAGGTACACTTGCTTCCCACAGTCCCTGCATAATTATATTCCAAAAAACGTTTTATGAAAAATAACTCAAGTGATTAAAAAAAAAAGGTATACAATAAATAATAAAGGTACAAGATATGAGATGGTTGATATTATGTAAAAAAGGGAATACCAAATATGTGACTCCCATCTTCCGGTTCGTCGGTAAAACGTAACTCCTCTGTACTGAGAGCTACGTGACCGAGGACCGCGTCGGCTCTTCTTTAACGGCGGGGATATCTCCGGCGCCGGCTCTTCTGGTCGTCGACCCGACCCACTTGGATCCGACTTACCGACACTTTGGTTTATGTTGTTGAAACCGGAACCAAACATCTCTCGAACTCCTGGTTCCATGACTTGACTCGGGAAGAAATTCCGGGTCACCGGAGGCACAGACGGTAGCCACGTGGTAGATTGGCTCACGTAGTTTGACACGTGTCCGAGCCGATTCCCTCTGCTGTCTTGTTCATCGTGATGATCCGGTGAGTCGTTAAGGTTCCACATTCTTTCTTTTTTCTTTTCTTGATCAAAAGGAAAGAAGAAGAAAATTTGGGGAGAAACAATAAAGACTAAGAGATGAGAAGACAACAAGAACGAGTAAAGGTTATTATATAAACTCGTAATAAATAAATAGATTACGAAGAGGATCCATATGAATACAAATATCTGACCCTATTCATCCATCACTAGAGTGGTGCAGAACAATGATATATATTAGAAAAAAAAAAAAAAGTTTATGTATACGAAATAAAAATATATGAAAATGATGATTCTTTCCCAATACAAGGGGCATGAGACTGTCTCCTAGTTTTTGGTCTCCTGGGTATTTGACATCACTGCATTTTTCTCTTTTAAAAAATATATATATATATGAAAAAGAGGAAAGCAAAATTCAGAAATTCAAAAATTATTATGGACTGAAATGTAGGATGTAGATGGGAGTATATGTCATCTTATTTAATTTCTTGTACTATTTTAATTTCTCCTACTCCAGCTTGGTACTCTAATATTTATCATTTTTTCACTCTTTTATATATATATATATATATATATCGTTTTCCCTCTCTTTGTATATAGTAGACTAGTAGTACTCGATAATTATATTTGTCCATTGTAATCTGAATACATAAATATGAGAGACAGATATATTACAAATAATTTTAAAATAAAAATAAAAAACGATGAACAAATCCGTGAAAAGAGTTTTGTATGAGGAAACAAAAGAAGCAAACGGAGATAATGTGATGTAAAAAATTAAAAAGGGATGTGATACCGAAAATGCCCCAATCCAAGAGTACGGGAAAACAAGTCTTCTTCACTCTCTCTTGGCTTTCCCATGCGTGTTCTCACGCTCCCTTTTCACATGTTATTAATAATATTTACATCAACTTTTAAAGAAACAATTAACCGATATCATATAAAAATCGGTTTGCTAATATACGGTACCTATGCATCGGTTTAGTATTTTAGGAAAATATGTAAATTTAAAAAATTTATATTCAGCATATGTTATATGTACAACAGTTTTTTTGTTTGTTCTTAGTTAATAATCAGGAAAGTTAATTCTCACTAAAATGTACTAATATTTCAAGCAATAATTAAAATTCAACAAAGACATCTTGGTGAAGTGTAAACAAGAGAATATTAGAGGAGTGTCTCCCTGCCGACCAAAGAAAAAAGAGATTATAATGTAATCTTTATAAGACAATTTTTTTTAAAACGCATATTACTAAATACGTGTTAAGTAGTTTTAGGTAAAAGCAAAGAATAGGTGTGGGTAAGAAGAAGAAATAAAGGAGAGCGAAAGCGTGAAAGAAGAATAATATACATATACAAGTGGGGAGGGTGGAGGAAAAAGCCAAACCTTCCCCTAATGGAACTATGACGATGCTTTGATGCTCTCTGTTTCTTTCCCTAAGTAGTAATTATATCAAGAAACCCTCTCTCTATATGCATCTGTTGATGATATATAATATGTTTGTGTTGTCGATTCCACAATGGCCATCTTTGCCCCACCATTGTCTCGCTAACAAATCATATCGGTCGGATTGATAAGTTTCTCTTTCTTTTTATATCGTAGATTGCCTTTTTTCCCCTATCATGGAATCCAACCACTTAGAAGATGCCTCAAGAGGAGATATTGTTACCAAACTATCAAATTATTGATTGATTAGCATATATATTTGTGTTGTGTAACAAAATGTATGGAAATCAAAATCTAGGATACATGTATATATGTTGAATATTTATGATTTGGCTTTAAATTTGATCATATATGAACTGAAAACCCATGATGTATATATCAGTTTACGTACTGCCATTTCAACTATTGTATCCAAAACTAATTTAGATTTCGACTAAAATTAATAGTGTTTTTTTTCTTTCTAAAACTTGTGAGAGGTTTAAAAAATTGTTTCTAAATTAGAGTTGTTTTGTTTAATGTCTTCACATATTTCATAAAGATTCAGTTTCACGACATTTTTAGTTATGTTTATGCTTGTCCACGTCTTTGATTCAATCTTATCATCATGATGATAATCTTTATATAGCCAGTTTTTGACTAAACAACGTAATTAAAATATTAATCTTAAAAAAATTATGTACATGATAAACGTGGCTTGTATAAAAACCTTTCACTAGTGATCGCTCTATTAAAAACAAAAAAAAAATAACTTTAAAATAATGAGAGACACATATATAAGACCAAAAGTGTGTCGGCACAATCATCTCAAAACGTAGAAATCCTATAATTTGTAGGTAGACTAGAATATGTTTTATTTATTTGTTCTTTAATTTATATTAAAAAAAAAAAAGAGAGCCGATGACAGCTTGGAAACATCGGACGGTTGTCGATAAAATCATCCTCGTACTGTCGGTGAATCCAGACAGTTGAAAATAATGTGGGCTCCACATTTCATTTAAGATCACGGAAGCTTTGATTTGATTACCTCTCTGCTAAAACGTGACTCACGTGAATACAACACTCTCTTTTTTTTCTTATTTGAAGTATCTAGCTAACCTGTTTCACATCTAAACATGTACTACTACTACATAACACATATCTACTTCGTCATAATGTCCTTTATATAGATATGTCACTGTAGTTGATTGCTGTTGTATTTAATAATTTGCATTCAAATCTGGGAGCAGGGTGGCTTTTTAGAAGCTTTAACTTATGCATATTTCATTTCAAACAATAATCTCCTCAGTCGCTTGAAATAACTAAAATATCACTCTTCTTGGCGTTGTGTGAGTCGTGAGATATAGAGGCTACGATTAGGTGCTGGTGATGCTGAAAACTTTGCCTCGAATTGGAATTGAAGAAACTTTCTACAAATAAATTGTTTATTTATTTATTCGACCAATGCAAACCAAATACTGTAGTACATACCACATTGGTATAAGGCATCGCGCAAGAAATCGACAAAATAAGAATAATAAAAGAAAAAAAGAAAGAATCAAACTTGTGAAAAGGAAAATCTTTTGAAAGTCGTCTTATTCGTCTAATACGAAAGTCAGTCACCTTTATATTTTCAGCTCTTTGCAGAACGAGACCGCACCTTGATTTTGTCCGCAGTAAACAACAAACAAACTGGCGATATCTCATGGGCTAAACTGGGCTTACCAAATGAGTTGAGGCCTTAATTAGACCCAAAAGTTAAGCTTACAAAAAATTGACGTACTTTTATTTTGTTTTAAAATATATTTATGGTGTTATAATAATAAGCCTTATTTCAAAAAGCCCATTTAATTTTTCATCTTTATCATTCATCAACGTATCGGCCAGTATAACCTGATTTTGATTAAATTTTATATATATAGTGCGTTTGTTTCTCGATTAAGCAATATAACTCCAAGATTGATTCTAGCCTACAAATATTTATAGTTCCCTGATCTTAAACTTGGATACTAATTTATAAATCAGCCTTTGCCCGTTACTATGCAAAGTATGAACTTTTTTTTTTGATTTGGTTGTGGTTGAAACAATTTTATAGATAACTCCAACGAGATAATGACAACGAGAAACAAGGATCAGACAGGAAGTTCGGGGAAGATGGAGACATGGTCAATGATTTTATAATATTGATCAGTCGAACCGTGTTTCCCCATTGGTCTTTGGTCAGTTCGTGATTACGGTTCAATTATAGCACTATATATATACTGGTTTTCAGTTTATTTTCATTTAGTTCTCTGATATAAAATTATTATTAACAAAAACCAAACATGCTCTCACAGTCTACAACAAGATTCAAAGAAAAAAAAAACTAATTAAAATATTTGTGGATGGGTTCGTGAATGATTTAGGTAAAAAAGAAAGCTTTACTAACAGAAGAAAAAGTGAAGGCCGATCAAATATCAAATCAAAGCTCCACCTTTGCCATTCTTGTCTTGGACTTATCCACCTGTACTCTTTCTTTTTTTGGTATCTTCGTTTTTTTTTTCTTTCCTTTTTTATAATAACAAAGATACTAAAACAGAAACACACTTATACATTATATATATATATATATCTCTCTCTCCTCCATTCTTCATTAATTCAAGAAACAGAAATTTCTTAAACATTATTTTTTTTGTCGTTAGTAATGATAAATGATGTATTTAAAGTCAAGTTTTTTAGAAAAATATGTATTGAATTTTAGAAATATAGATTAATTTTTAAAAGAGAGATAAAGTATAAACCAAGGAAGATAATGATTTATTTTTATTTTTGTTTCTTCCCCCTCACGAGAAAGGGCTTTGCATACCTATCAAAAGAAAATGGAGAAATGCGCCGACAAGAAAATAAAGAATGAAGAAATGCAATACATAATATGCATTATATATAAAGAGAGGCGATTAATAGGTGCAACTTAATTAATTCCCCTTGCCTCCTGTCACAAATAGATAATACTATACGATAATTATAAAATGCATGGCGAAGGAAACTTTCAAGCTCCGATATAAAATGATATACGTAAGAAAAACTTTATTAAAAAGATTTAAACACATCTAAAAATAAATAAATAAGCGACAATAATGAATTTGTAATAATAGAACTGAAAAAGATGGAGCATATAAAATCTAAATGGTACCCACAGAACAAATGGAAATGGAGCAGAAGACAAAAAACAAAACACCCCCCGACGACTCAAAAATCTTATCCATCTTACATATTTATACATTCTAAGTAATGTATATATATATTATTTATTACAAACTTTATGAATTAGAAAAAGAAAAAAAAAGATATAGAGACGTAATTAATAGAGAGATAGACAATGTCAAGTTGCTTTTATATGATATATGCATGTAGGTCATACTTTGTCCCATTATTATTATTATTATTATTCAACTTGTTATCCCATCCCTTCGATTTAAATCCATAAGAGGGCATTTTCTTAAACATCATAGAAACTGTTCTTAATTGTTTTATAAAGAGGACCTTTCCAACTGATCAGTAATATAAAGATTTCCCTCAAAAAATAGGAATTCTTATGTGTAGTTTAAGTTTCCTTAAAAAAAATAGAACTTAGGTATAGTTTAAGTTTTGGAATACATGCTCGGTATACACTAACTAAAGTAAAGAAAACAAAGAGATTTAGGGCGAAATTTTTCCATTAATGAGTAATTAATGAGTAGAGAGTAATATACATTTTTTTTTGCATTCTTTAAGCAATAGCCTAAAATTTCCATAAACCGCAAAATCCGCAATAAAGGAAAAAAAAAAAAAAACAAAACCAAAACAAAATTAATAACTAAAAAAAAAAAAATCATAAACGGCGCTAATGATTCGTAGAAGCAAAGCCGCGGCGTACGTTAGCAGCAGCCACCGCTCCCAAAATATAATATATTTTTATTAATATTTGCTTTTCCATTCTTCATCGGAGCTTTCCGGGTCGGGTAACTTATTCAAGTCAACCCGATCCAAGAACCGGCCGGCAGTTTTGAACCTCTTGTCGTCGTCCTCTTCCTCATCATCTTCTTGGTCACCGTTATGATAATCCCGATGAAAGTTCTTCTTATCATCGTCGCTATCTATACTCTGACCAAAGACACGGTGGCGGTTATTCTGAACCGCGGTGCCTAAAGCATCAACCTGAGCACCGACCTCGGTAGCTTTTTTCCTGATGGTGGCAGCCGACATATCCTCGTCGGAGAATTTGTCAAGAGGAAGAAGCTCAGGGAAGTTAAGCCTGGCCGTAGGACCTCTGAGATAGAAAACGGCGGTGTCGTAAGCACGAGCGGCGGCCTCGGGGGTGGAGTAAGAGCCGAGCCATAACCTAGAGCGCTTGTTTGGCTCTCGAATCTCCGCTACCCACTTTCCCCACTTCCTCATCCTTATTCCTTTGTATGGTCTCTCTCTCTTCCTCGTACCGCCCACTGCCACGTCAGTTACTGCGTCGCCGTCCATGGAGGAGGAAGTATGATTAAACCCTCCAAAGAGAAACACTTTCGAGATGGGTTTTAGAGAGAGAGAGAGACAGAGACAGAGAATAAATTTGTCGGAGCAGGAGATAGAGGAGGAGGGAGGTAGCAGCAGGTGGTATTATGATGATGGAGGAAGAGAACAATCCAAATTCACCGACAAGAAAGAAAAAAAATAGAAAGTTAAGAGAAGAGAGAATTTTAGGTTAGTTGGATTTATAGAAGATAAACTTTGATTTCCATCTTTATATATATATATATATATATATATATATCACAAAAAAAAAAAAAAACAATTCTTCTTGTTTTCCTTTTCCTATTAGAAAAATAAAAATCTGTTTCGCTCCAAAATTTATCAGTTTTGTAAATAAAAAAAGATACCAAAAAAAAAAAAAAAGATAAAAAAAAAATGGGAGCGAGACGGAGATGATGAAAGCTGTATCTTTGTGTGATGATGATTTTTGTGTAATTTTTAATGGAACAGAAACTTTTTAAGAGGATAGGCGGAAGAAGAGGTGGTGGAGATGACATGCGCATCTCTTTTTTTTCTACATTTATTTTATCTTTTATTATTATTATTATTTCTTCATATAATATTTTTTCTGCTATCCATATGTATTATAGTACGCAAAACCTCTGTGTGTTTCTTTTTATTTTAAAACCATTATTTTTTTTTATCTACGAATATATACCTCCGCCAATACACATACTTATCTACTAAATTATTAGTAACCAAATTCTACTAAAGAAGATACCTAATAACTCTGCATAGATCGACAAAGTTATATAATCATCGCCAAAATTCGATTATCATATGATATAATCCTATGTTAATAACACTAAATCATATTGACTGGTGAAAACTTTACCAACGGTCTTTATCGAGAACAAAATATTAAAAAGATTGAAAACTTTACTACTGCATACATGGACAACATTTTTGGTTAGTCAAATTTCTTTTTTTATAAAGGAGAAACACAAAAAATAATTCCATATATATTTTCCATAAACTTCTCTTACTTCGGCATTAAACTTTATAGTTTTAACTTTTAAATCTAACACAACTTTTCTTTTATATAACAAATTCGGTTTTTGTTTTGGGTTTTTGGCGCCACATAAAACTAGGATAATTTATATTTGTATTATAAAAATCATCGCATCCCTTCTTTTGTAAATCGTATTAGTATTTGAAGTAGTACTTTACAATCAAAATAAAAACTGAAACCGCTTCGTAATCGTTGCTTTTGTTTTTATTTGCCGTCTTGGTGGTGAAAACAAAAATGAAACATAAAATAAATTTGTAACTGTATGATAACAAATTAACATACGAATACATACGGTATAAAGATAGTGGAGGAAGGAAGGTAGGTCGGTGGTCGGTGGGCTGAGGAGAGAGATACCGTTAGGAATTGACTTTTATGTGTTGAGTTGTGTACTCTTCTTATTACGACACGTATTGTGTTTTGTCCTTTTTGTCCCTTTGATTCCCTATTCCCCCCGTTTTTCACTTTTTTCTCTCTTCTCCTTTGATTTTTATTGACAAGGAGAATTTTGGTATTAATCCCACTTACGCTCCATTATCATATTTTAATTTTATGCAAAACCCAATCAAGTGTTTATTAAGAACATAAGCTATATATATATAATTACCAACAAAATAAAAAAAATGAGTAAATTATACAATAAGAAAATTTGTTTCCCAACCAAATATTCAACTACAACACTAACCAATAATACGATCAAACAAATATAACAACAATAAGCATATATATATGTATAATTAATAGTGACACTTTAAATATTTGTATACAGCAGGTGGGAGATTTGATTAATGTTTTTAAGATAAATGTCAATCCGCGAAAGAACCGATCTTTCAATAATTGTTTTATGTTAGTTTCAGGAGTGTTGAGCTGTATTTTCTACCCTTTAATAATAATAATATTTGTTTTTTTTTCGGATAACGATATTTATTCTGTTTAGTTTATAAGAAGAATGGATTAGCTCAACATCAACATAATTTATGTTTAACAATAATCCTTTTAATTATATACTAATATATATAACTTGGACCATATTTTATGATGTTGTTGCAGCTCTCTTGACTTGTTTCTTCACGATTTCAATAATTTGCTTTGTGATGTGAACCCATCTATCTGCTACTACTATATACACACCTCCATAAGTCTTTACTTTTCTAAATATACTTTTTTCTCTATTCAATTTTTATTTTATTTTTTTGTTGCATTCAAAAATTTATTAGGTGGTCTTTAATTTTATATGTATATACACGTCTGTATATTATATATCAATAAGTTACTCCGATTATATTTTAACGTTTCCATATGTATATATATATATTTGTTAGGAACAAACAAAGAATAAATAATATTGTAACAAAATTAAATTAGCAATTTATGTTCCTTTCATAATAATTCTACGATCATTTGGGAATCGTTACACGCAAAAGAATTCTAATAAACAAATATATATACCGGAAATTATCATATAGAATCTGTGGGGTAGGGAATTGAGTGATAATTTTGGATTGTTCCCACGACTTTGGTTTAACAATTTCTTAATTTTACAAGAATAAATTTACAAAATAAATAATTTAACACTAGGGGAGAAAAATATATGAGAATTTTAAATAATGAAACTTTTAGCTGTGACCCAGTTGGCACGTGAACATGGTGCCAATTACCGCGGAAAAAGCAAAAAATATCATTACATTTTTATACAAGAAACTGGACCACTTTGTTTACATGTTATTTTTTTTTATACAGTATTTTTCAAATTATGGGGGGTCGCCATTTTATTTTTCTATATGTTTAGAAGTTTATAACAATACAACAGAACCAGTCCAATACGGTTCCTTTTCATACATTTATATTTATAGATGGTGATGATCTTTGATTTAAATCAATATAACACACCAACCGATAGATACAATAATAGATTAGTTGCGTCAGATCTTATAAGAAAAAAAAAAAAAAAAGATTCAAGTTCACACGAACGATAATGTTTAAAAGAATTCGTATAAGTATTTATGCTTAACAGCTTAGTTAACGAAAAGGCGTAAACTCATTAAATCTCCCTAAATCAGAGTCGAAACAAAAATATAAATCTTGCAAAAGTAGTATCGGATTAACAATGAATGCAACAATGAACAATGAGGCGGGTTTGTTATGTGGAGATTCTAAATTTGAAAGTGTGATAATAAATCAAGTCAACAGTGATTTACTGTCTCAATCCTACGCTCGAATTTAATATTTAAGAAATACTCCACATACTTTAAATCTTTGTGTGTAGCGTAGGGAATGCACAATATCTTGGTACCATCTATCTGGTAGACTTTTATGGATATATATATTTGGGCCGCTGATATCAAAACTTGGCCTCGTAATGTAAGATGGCTGTTTATTTACACACGGGCTTTTTTCTTTTTCTTGAAATAGTTCCTAAATAGGCTGACTTGTATAACGTTCTGTTCTAATCGAAATTTGCATTGACACAGTTATGGACCAAAACGTAGTAACTTGAGAAGGCAAAAACAAACAAAAAAACAAATTATTGGTGATTCTACAACAGTTTCTTAAACCTTACGTTTGTTTTCTTCAAACCAACATCCCTTGCATTATGATAAGAGATTTTGCATTTCATACAATTATTATTATTATTTTGAGAATGAGAAAGGTATAATACTGTCTTTTTTTTTTACTTTCTTTTTAACCAAAATGAAAAAAATTGGGAATTCTTTTGGCTTCTCTGGCTTTGGATCATAAATATTCTGACACAGGTGGAGCCACAAGACAATTGAATCCACAATTATTTGTGGTAAAAAAAATTCCAATCTTCAACGGTTGATATCATCCACGGAAAAGGCAAAAAAAAAGCATACTTCTTTGACTTTTGTCCTCTAAATTCCAACGGTATTACAATTCCGACCTCACATCCTAAGAAAATTACATTTACGAGCCCTATGTTCTCCTTTATCTAAAATTAACCCCCTCCGCTCGGAAAATTGTTCGGGAGGGAACCTACCGGATGTTTTTTGTTTTACCGGAACGGATCGTTTTCTTCAGCAATCACACTCTCCTTAATCTCCTGAATCATCTTAATCACTTGTCTCATCGTTGGTCTTTGTTCTGGCGATGTCACACGGCAGAGACAAGCTGTTTCAGTCATCATCCCAAGCCTATTGTCCTCTGTTCCTTCCTCTTCTTCTCTCATTGCTCTAACCCAATCAAGCATATCGTGAGGCGCCATAAACGGATGCCTCGATGCGTTCTTACCGGTCAAAAGCTCAAAGATCAATACACCAAACGAATAAACATCACATTTTGAAGTTGGTCTGCGGGATGACTTTCTGATCTCAGGGGCTTTGTAGGCGGATGAGTCAGGATCATCAGGTGAGGCAGCAGACGAGTCTGTTAAGACACTGAGGCAGTAATCTGTTAAACAGGCTTCGAAGTCTTGTCCCAGGAGAATGTTTGTGGATTTTAGGTTTCCATGGACTAATGCTGCCGAGGTTTGGTGGATGTAATATAAGCCTTGAGCTACATCTTCTGCAATCTTTAGACATGATGTCCAATGTAATGGCTTTGCTCTTGACGATCTTGAACCTGAATTATGAGAGTAATTAGAAGTGTCATCATTTGGTACTACAATATGGGGCCAAGAAGCAGCAAATCAAGCACTACCGGGAAACAAACATTCTTAAGATGCAATTCTCCCGTTCTTGGAAAATGTTTACAATTCTAGTAATAAGCGTTTTTATATAAAAGGTTTTAATTTTCCCCCGCATTTAAGCACTAATACAAGGTCTAGAGACAGAGCCATTGCAAAAGACGAGATTTCACGTGGAAAAAAACAGCACAGAGTTCCACCAAAGTCTGTCTTCTTCTTCCACTACGACTAAGTAATTGAACAACTTCAAAAAAGAGCAAAAGAACAAAACTTTAATAGTAAAATAAAACCCGAGATTGTCGCTGTGTGGTCATCTTCAATGTCAACAAGTTAATTGACTACTAAGTTGATAAAGCTGTGTGCACAAAACCCTCCACACACAAAGAGACTCATGCTTTCATAATTTTTAGGGTTTAAAGCTTAATATAATAAACAAAGAGTGGGTCATAGTCTCTCTCTACGACCCCGAAACGGTTAGTCACGTCATGATTAAGACACTCAACACAATTAATTAAAGAAAACTCGGAGTTAATAACTCAGTGAGTTAATAAACTAAAACCCTTGAAAAAGTAAATTCAACATGGAGATTTAAAGAAGATGAGATTCTTACCGTGAATGAGATTGGATAGACTACCATTGGGATGATAATCGTAGATGATGAGCCTCTCTCCATTAGATTGAAAGTAAGCTCTAATGGGAACAAGATTCAAGTGTCTGAGTCCACCAACAATCTCCATATGATTGTCAAACGCTTCTTCACTCGTGACCGCCGTTTTAGCGGCGTCTAGTCTCTTCACCGTGACGATAAGCTGATTATCAAGAACCGCCTTGTAGGTAATCCCCACTGATCCTCTTCCCAACAGCTCCGCCGAAGCTCTCATAAGCTGCTCCAACGTATACATCCCTTGACTCCTCGATTCACCACAGAAAACAAGATTCCCACTATTTGGTATTCGGCTTTGTAGCTGCTCCGTTGCTTGTAGTGACTGAACCTCTTTCTCTCGCTTCTGAGATTCAGAATCCGAGTTCATAACCGGAACGGTTCTGGTTCTTGGGGTTTGGATTTGCGATTGATGTTGTGAGGAAGACGTGTCTCCTTTTGGATTTGGTTGGTACATTCCATCGTCGTTTCGTTTCTTTATCGCCAGAGAGAACACGACGAGGCAAAGACCAAGGACGATAAGCGAAGCGAGACCAGCGGTGAAGCCAAGAACTAACCCATTCTCTTTACCTTTCTTCTTCGTAACCACCGGAGATATTACCACCGCACCGCCGTTCTGCGCCTGAGCGCTTTGACCTAACGGAGCTTCCGACGACTTCGTTTTATTAGTGGATCCGAAGAAGGGCGAGCGTGAAGCGCAAGCTCGGTTGATGATCTCGCCGCAGAGTCCAGGGTTGGACCTAAACGACGACGCATCGAATCGGGACAGAGTCGGAGTGACGGGAACGACGCCGGTGAGATTGTTACCGGAAACGTTGAATGACGTCAGGAACGACTGATTCATCGGCGGGAGGGTTCCGTTAAACCGGTTAAACTCGAGATTTAATGAAGTTAAGCGGTCAAGAGCGTTGATCTCAGACGGAATCGAACCGGAGAAGTTGTTGCGAGAGAGAGAGAGAACCATCAACCGGTGAAGAGAGAGGATGGAGGGAGGGAAAGCACCGGAAAACTGATTCCGGCTAAGGAAGAGAGACTTGAGGTTAACGAGAGGCGAGAGATCAGGAACGGGACCAAAGAGCGAGTTATTCTCGAGACTAAGAACTCGGAGCTGGTCAAGACGGCTGAGAGTAGAGGAAGAGAAGTAGCCACGGAGAGCAACGCCGGAGAGAACAAGGCGAACGACGCGACCTTGAGCACATTTGACGCCGCGCCACTGACAGTAGTCGTAACGCTCAGTGAGGGAATACAAAAGCTTGTTGTCGAGATCGGCGGTGGATTTGAAAGAGAGTAAAGCAACGGCATCGGAAGGAAGTAATGAGTTGAAGTAATTAGGGTCTGCTCCGGCGGAGACACGGAGGAGGATGAAGAGGAAGAGGAAGAAGAAGAGAAAAAAGTTGAGTGTCATTTTTGGTGTTTTCGCTTTTTCTTAGGCAAACAACAAAGTCACAATAAATTCAAATCCCATATATGTATTAATTTTGCTTCTCCTCTTTCTAATTAAAAACAAAAAGATTTTTTTTATATAAAAAAATGGGAAGCAGCTGTATCTCCGGTGAGACGAGGAGAGAGAGAGAGAGAGAGAGATGAGATGTTGGGACTGTGGAGTGGATCACGTGCTTATGGCGATCGTATTATTTATTTTATACTCTAGTATATAACTTTTGATGCAAATTATACCGAACGAAAGTTATTATATGTATTTATGTAATGTATATAATTTTTGATGACACCAAACAATCCAAAAATACTAAAAATGCATTTATATTATTTTTTATTTTAAAAAATAATTCACTAAATTGTAACCATATAAAAAAGTCGTCATACAAGTCAAAAAAAGCTTTGGATTGGGGGAATCATGAAATCGAAATAAATAAAAAGAGTTACCGAGCTGTTAAAAAATAACAGAAACATGCATATTCTTCAAAGAAAAAGGAGTTTTGTTTAACCGATGCGGTCAAAATAATGTTTTCCGAGAGGAATCGCATTGGGGACTGGGAGTCACGCGCGGAGTGAAGCGGTTGAGAATAAGCGATTGGAACCGTTAGTGTGAGAGAGAGAGCTGGAGCGAGTCCGTGACTGTGACTGTGACTGTGGTGGCTAAAGCTATAAGCCGTTTGTTTGGTGATTGGTCCGTAGGAAAAGACTAGACTCGTAGCCAAAAGACTAAACTTGTGGTCCTTTTTTTTTTTTTTTTTTTCTTTGACAACTTTCTCTTTTTTGTTTGTCTTCCTTAATTTGGTCTTTACAAAATAGCGACGTTTTCTGATTAATTTTCTGAAGACAAAACAAAAGCATATATTGCTTCAAAAAAAATAAAAAAATACATAGTTAATGAAAATTATGGGGGAAAATATAATAGTGTGATAGTTATTGACATTGTGACAAAAGTATGGAGGGTTTCTACAGAGTTGTACGACTTTGGGTCCAATCATATTTATATTGAAACAAAAAAAAATCTATTTGTTTCTCCCCATTCTTCAATGTTTTTATAATATTTTAATGGTCACTTTTATGTTTTGGTTGCACTTTCTTTACAAAAGAGAGAATCAAAAGATAAGCAAAGCGTGCTGTTTTCAGTGACACGAAAACAGCATCTCCAATATGCGTCATTTCCTTAAATATTTTGAGGCTAAAACCTTTAAGGATTACACTAAATTATTCACTCTCTCACTGGGTCTTAATATATATATATATATTAAAAAGGGGTTAAAGAAAAGTAGGGTGGTGGTGGCTATACGGAGAAGAAAACTAAGCCAAAGTGATTTTGACTTCATCATTTTGTGTTTAACATCTAAAAAGAAGCGCCCACAGATACTTGTAAAAAGGTGTTCACTAATCCATCTTCTCGGCAACAACACCAACAAAAATATATCAAGATTCTGTAAAACAAATTATAATAGGGGTAGTATGATGTTGACAAAAAAAAAAAAAAAATAGGGGTCCATAGACTTTGCATTATCAAATCTGGGATATGAATTGGGCCAACTTAAAGCCTAAGAAATGTAGTATGGGCCATATCAGGTGGATTTCAGTAATGGCAAAGTCCAACCTGAAATACATTAATTTTTGTTTCTTTTCAAAATTAGAGATGATATCAACTTCACTCTTTATAACTTAGGTGAGATTTAGGTGGTTAATATCATCACTTCGACTTAGGTGAAATTTATAACACCACTTGTAATTTTAGTTTACATATTTCTTGAAGGTTATATATAACTGCATTCGTATGACTTCTTTTTTTTCGTCTTCTCCAATTTTCCAGTCTTGTCCCGTATTTTGATATTTTTGCCCAAATAAAAGGAATAAATAAGTACGTTACTAGTTGGTAGACAACATATTTTAATGATAGAATATGAATAATAAAATGAATAGGTTTGAAATATTAGTATTTCGAAGGATATAAACCAAAATAAGAAGACGAAGGGACAAAGACTTGTGGTCTGTAATTAGTTACGGTGTCACTTTGCAGTAACCAAAACGCCGACACCTCTCTTTCTCTCTTCTTCAAATCTACCAGCTCCATGCATGTACGGTACAACCACCTCTTCACACACACACCCTCCTCATTTCTTTACCTTATTTTTTTAATTTAAAAAAAAAAAATCATTAATCTATCAAACTTACATAACCAATACAAATAACATTTTTTTTTTTTGATTTATTATAACCTAGTTTCTCCAAATTTGTATTCTTCCCAACAAACCACAAACCGTATGATCATTTACGACTTGATTGACATTACATATGTCAATATTTAATGTCTTGATTTTATGTTTTATTAGTCTTACTCGTCCTTGTAGTTTTATGAATAGTTTTGCAATTTCCAATACTAAACCGGAAAAACAAGTCAACAGCAGTTTTAGCTGTGCACTTTTTAATTCGATTGAACTAGTCCTACTTTCACTATTTTAAATTTAACCGGACACTTACTTATCTACTTTACCATGATTTGTGAATGATCCGTGTTAGATAAATGTAGTTTTCTTACTGTATTAGAGAAATGGTCATGTCATCTTCATAAATCTCCCAAACCAAAACAACTAATTTTGAAGGAAATGTTACAAATTTAATCTTTTAGAATCTATATATATAAAGTTAGCTTTTTCTCTCTTCTCATTATGCCACCTAAACATCCACTTAAGCCACATTTTTTTTACATTAAAATAAATTTAAAACATTCATTTAGTGCATATTTATGCTACTTAATTAATTAAAAGAAAATTTATATAAATAAAAATAAATTATGTAAATAAATGAAATGTTAAATAATAAATATTTTCATTTTTTATTAGTTAGTGGTAATAATATAATTCAAATTTCATTTTAAGTTGATCATAGTTTAAAATTTTAAATGTGTTACTGAGTTTAAGAATGTAAGTAAATTTTAAATTTATGATAGAATAAAAACAACATTTATGTAATTGTATCTATAAAATTATAAAGGAGAAAAATAAAATTGAAAGTGAAATATTAGTTTATAACATGATCAAAAAGAAAATGCTTTTAATCCAAATTTAAATATTGTAAGATAATAATTTAAGAGAAAATAACTATAATATGTTTTGAAAATCAATTAAAAATAATAAAATATCATAATATGAATAAAAAATTAACAAAAAATTATAAAACTCCCGCGCGCAGCACGGGTTAACTGATAGTATATATATAATATACAATTATATATACAATTATACTATTTCTACGTTGTCGTCATCCCTATATTAGTAAAAGAGAAGTACAAAATAGAATATGGGTCGGGTCAAAATTAAAAAATTAACCCGATTTTAGCAATTGGATACTTCAAAATTGGATATTAAATTGGGTTCGGATACATATATCGGATACTTTCCATATCTAATTTTAAAATTATATTATTTCCATAACTAATTTTATGATTTCCTAATAAATCTCTAACTAATCAATTATTATTCTTCTTTAACTTTTATTTGATATTATTTTTAATTTATGATATTATATTATATAATAAAAATGATTAATAAAAATTTAACTTTTTTTTTTTTTGCATATGTTGCAATTTGAATTTTCAAAACGGACATATAATACTCAACTACACTCGGTTAAATATTTTGGACAATGATTTAAAATCAGTATAAATATGACCAATATTAAAACCATTGTTACATGAGTCTGTTTAAAAGTTTCAAAAGTTTCAAAACATTATAATTAAAATGTTAAAATATATTAAAATAGAATTTAAATTACTAAAATTATTTTTTTGGAGACATAATTTTAATTTATTGATAAAATATATTATATATCAAACTATGGAAATTTTTGATAGTTCGCGGATAGTTTGTAAAAATCACAATTATAATGGTAAAGCGAGTTATGAATAATGTTTTTAAAAAAACGAATTTTGTTACGGGTTGGTCCTTCAAAAAAATATATTGTAAGTATGTAATTTTTACATATATTCCTACTTCTACTACAAGAATGGTCAAATTGAATAATTTGTCGATAAATATTATATTGTGCTGTTAAATTTTCACTGTTTTTTTAATTGTATCAAACCTCAATGTATTATTATTTACTAACTTTTTCGTTTATTATTTTATTTAAATTTATTACACATATATATTATTTACCATAATCGACTGCATTGCAATAAAACTAAAATATAACATATTCTTTTTTTTTGGACAAAAAATATAACATATTCTAATCCCTTAAAAGTTATATATTTATAATTATTTCTTCCGCGCTGTAGCGCGGGTCCGAACCTAGTTCTCTGATAAGGCGTCAGACCTTTTTTAATAGTCCACGAAACCAAAAACACTTTGCTTTTAAAACAGAGTCAAAATCTCTCTTCGCCTTCATCCTCTGACCAAAACAGAGGAAAGCAAAAAAATGAAAAGTGGAGGAGGGAACACAAACACGAAGCTCATACTTGTTCATCCATACATTCAAAAACAAACAAGCACAAATCGTCTATGGCTTCTCGCTTTCGTCTCTTTCTTCACTATCGCTTTTCTCCTAACTCTTCTCTACACCACCGACTCCATCATCCCTTCTAAAAACAACTCCGCCACCCTCTCCTCCGCCGTCAACCCCGCCGTCTCCTCCGCATCTCCGATCTCTCAACTTCCAACAACTGCCATCAATGCAATGCTTCACTACGCTTCAAGATCCAACGACAGCTTCCACATGTCCTACGGAGAGATGAAATCCATCTCCGACGTCCTCCGCCGCTGCTCTCCGCCGTGTAATCTCCTAGTCTTCGGCCTAACACACGAAACCCTTCTCTGGAAATCGCTAAACCACAACGGCCGCACAGTCTTCATCGAAGAGAATCGTTACTACGCAGCTTACTTCGAAGAAATCCACCCGGAGATCGATGTTTTCGATGTCCAGTACACTACAAAAGCTCGCGAGGCGCGTGAGCTCGTGTCGGCGGTTAAAGAAGCGGCGGGGAACGAATGTCGTCCGGTTCAGAATCTTCTCTTCTCCGACTGTAAATTGGGACTCAATGATCTGCCGAATCATGTGTACGATGTTGATTGGGATGTCATCTTAGTCGATGGGCCACGTGGCGACGGTGGAGATGTACCGGGAAGGATGTCGTCGATTTTCACGGCGGCGGTTCTTGCTCGGAGCAAAAAAGGAGGGAATCCGAAGACGCATGTGTTCGTTCATGATAACTACAGAGATGTTGAGAGGCTTTGCGGCGATGAGTTTCTTTGCCGGGAGAATCTTGTGGAATCTAACGATATGCTTGCGCACTACGTGTTGGAGAGAATGGACAAAAACAGCACGCGGTTCTGTCGTGGTCGTAAGAAACGCTCTGTTTCTTCTCCATCGGCTTGAGTTAAATGTGCGCTTAAACCCTTGTGGGCACAGAGAGTCTAATCAACAGACAGACAGACGGTGGTGATTGACACCGTCAATCGCGGAGGAGTTTGTGTAAAATAAACACTTTTTTTTTCCTACCTTTCAATCTTTTTCTCCTTCGTTTTCAAATCTTTAAAACTATGTGAAATATTCAATCAGATCAATGAAAATTTTAAAATTTCTTTAAAGGTATTTATTCTTAAATGAACTAAATTCTCAAAGTTTAGAATAAGCTTTATGAATTTCTTAAATGAACTTATAAGCTTTATTCTAACATTTCACAAGATATTGATAAAATTTTAGTTTAAAAGTGAGTCTTACATAAGAAGATACTAAAAAAATTTTGGTTTATAAGTGATGATTGGTGATACAACATAAAACCCAATGAATCAAGAATGTATTACTAATACAAGGGACTCCATTACCTCTAAACTCTTTGTGGAGACTCTTGTGGATTTGGAGTATCTATTTGCTTCTTCTTGTAGAGTGGAACTCGCCCTCCAAGTTCTTTCAGCTGATCTACAAGACCGTATAGAAACTCAAACGACAATATGTTTTGAGCATTAAGCTGTTCTCTAACCTGTGGATGAACCCTAAACCATTCTCCCAACATCTTATGAACGTGAGATCGAATCATCCTCCATGGAACCGGATGCTTCTCGCATAACTTTAAATACTCAACAACTAAATCTCCCTGATCTAATCCTCCATCGACGAATCCCTCTTCTTCGTTATTCGCTGCCCATTCAGCTGTTCTGAACCCAGCAAAGACCGCTGGATTCTCAAGAAGCGTCTCAGCAGAAAGGACACCTTCAACACCGGTCTCCTCAATGCAGTTATCAACATCTTCGATGCATCTTACATTCCCATTCGCCAGAACAGGGATTCTCAAAGCGTTTTTCACTTCCTTGATGGCACTCCAATCAGCTCTGAACTTTTTCCCGTCCTTCTCATCCCTTGTTCGGCCATGAACAGCTAGCAGCGAGCAACCAGCATCTTCTAGCATCTTGGCATATTTGAGTGTATCTTGAATGTTTGGGAAAATCCGGATCTTACAGGAGACAGGAACATTAAGGTTCTGAGCTAACTTTTCAACAAGTGATTTCACCAAAGGGAGATTATCCATCAGGAATGCACCATAATTTCCTCGCCTCGCTATACGCTGTGGACACCTGAAACAAAAATCCCCCAAAAGATTCCTACTTAGCATCTAAAGTACAATATTTCACTGTGCTCTTACAATACACAAATCATTGAGTCCAAACGAAGATCTACAATGGGTATTAGGCCATGAATCAAACTACAAAACTCATTGAACCTATCGTTCCCAGAAACTTGGAACCCAAACCATTGAATTCTATCTTAGTTACAAAAGTGAAAGGTTCCATCTGTATTGAAGAACTCTAACATAGAAGATGTGGAAAGAGAAATCTTTACTTACCCTAAATTGATATCAACATAATCGCAGTAAGGTTCCACTCTCTTTGCAGCTTCCAATAATGTATCAGGATCATTAGCACAGAACTGCACAAACAATGGCCTGTCCTCCTACAATTTCCAAATCCAATCAAAACCCTAAACCCTTTTAAGAAAAGCAAAAATGTAAATGAAAAATGTTTACCTGGCAAGTGGTGAACTCCTGATTTCGATACTTCTCAGTCTCGGTGAAAATCCTAGAATGCAACATCGGCGTATAAGCAGCTTGAGCTCCGTATTTTTGGCAGAGCAATCGAAACGGAAGCTCAGAGTTATCCACCATTGGAGCAACGATGTATCTGGGTCTACCCAGATTTTTCCAGTGTGCCCAAGCTCGCTCTACCCTAGTATCAATGCTTAGGACCCGACTTGGAGAGCCCAAGATTGCAGGCGCTGCGTCGATCGTTTCCTCAATCTGCACATCACGCTGCTTTGAGCAGAGAAGATCGTCGACTACTTGGGACGGATCAGGAATTGAATCCGGCTTTTGAGTCATTGTTCGGGTCTGGGACATGAACGATTTTCTTGAGGTCCGTAGAAATTTGAGATTCGAGAGATTTAGTTTCATGAGCTGACGACGGGAGACGAACTCATCGCCGCCGCCATAAAAATTAGGGGTTGAAGTGAGTCGCTTTAAAGTTTTGGTATTTTTCCAGCAAAAAAATATGTTTTTCCTTCTTTCATTTGGGCCTTGATGGGTTTCATGTATTCAATGTAATGGGCTTAAATATGCTTGGGTAAAAAAATATACTATTCACCATAACATGCGCAAAAAAATTCCAATAATCTTGTATGAGTGGAATAACAGATATAATGTAAATAACGATCATGGGATGGAATTCGTAACTTATAATGTAAATTTATAATTTATAAATTTGAACTGTACACTACATTTGTAATAGCTGTATAAAAAGCCTTTGCTTAGAAATAAAGTGAAACCGGGTTACCCAAATCGTACGACTATTCTCAATCCTTGCGTTGACTGCTGACGTAATCCAGCACCACCAATCATATAATTAAGGCGTCACGTCTCATTAATTAGTAATCACACACGTGCTTAAACCTTAATCATTACTCAAGTTTATGCATAAACGCTCCAGCCTCTCAGTAACATTATGCCACGTGTAGCTCATATTTATAAAAATTAACGTTGCTTTTTTCCTTTTTGATTTCCCTTATTTAAAATAAAATATGTCTGTTGTACCAGCAAGAAGGCTGGTGTGTGATAAGTAACCATAATAATGATATTAATTAATGATAATTAAAACCTCAAATGAAACGTAATTAATTAATCTTAACAGACATTTATTTTTTTCCCTCTTTTTATCTTTCGTTCGCTCAAACTGTTGTTCATCAGAAGAAGGATCTAAACAAAGAAGATGAAGCTCTCTGTGTTTCGATTGAGCTACTGGAACCGTCGAGGATACACTTTCAGATCATCGCCGTTGTTAGATCCCACATTCGACGGCAAATCTCCGTCGTCTGTGTTTTGGCTCGTCATTCATGCTCTCTGCTGCTTGATCAGCTTGATTCTAGGGTTTCGTTTCAGCCATTTAGTACTCTTCTTCCTCTTTTCCACTTCCGTAACCAATCTATACACTACGCCTTTTCTTACCGCCGGAAACGGCGGTGTGAGCCAGCTTCTCCGGCTGAAACCTCTGGAAACAGCTACTAACAGCACGGCGAAGAAGAACTCTCGAGTGGTGGTTGGAAGACACGGGATCCGGATCCGTCCGTGGCCTCACCCGAATCCGATTGAGGTCTTGAGAGCGCATCAGTTGCTTGTGAGAGTACAGAAAGAGCAGAAATCGCTCTACGGTGTGAGGAGCCCTAAGACTCTGATTGTGGTGACGCCGACTTATGTACGGACTTTTCAGGCGCTTCATTTGACCGGAGTTATGCACTCCCTCATGCTCGTTCCTTACGATTTGGTTTGGATCGTTGTGGAAGCTGGTGGAGTCACCAACGAGACTGCTTCCTTTATCGCAAAATCAGGATTGAAGACGATTCACTTGGGATTCGATGAGAAAATGCCGAATACTTGGGAAGATCGTCACAAATTGGAGACCAAAATGAGACTTCACGCCTTTAGGTGATATCTCAGTGCATATATTTTTTGTTTGCTGTTTCATTTGATTGAATGATTCTTATTGACTTGAAAACTGTTTGCTGACTGATTGGAAGAGCAGAATCGTGGGAGAGAAGAAGTTAGATGGGATTGTTATGTTTGCTGATGATAGCAATATGCATAGCATGGAGCTGTTTGATGAGATTCAAACTGTGAAATGGGTTGGTGCTCTATCTGTTGGTATACTTGCTCACTCTGGTAATGCAGATGAATTATCATCAGTCTTGAAGAATCAACAAGGGAAGCATAAAGAGAAACCTTTAATGCCGATCCAAGGTCCTAGTTGTGATTCCTCTGAGAAATTAGTTGGCTGGCACATTTTCAACACTCAGCCTTATGCCAAGAAGACTGCAGTTTATATTGATGAAAAAGCGGCTGTGATGCCTAGCAAGATGGAATGGTCAGGGTTTGTGTTCAACTCTAGGTTGTTATGGAAGGAATCTGTAGATGATAAGCCAGCATGGGTTAAAGATCTCCATTTGTTGGATGACACTGAGGAAATTGATAGTCCATTGTCTTTCGTCAAGGATCCTTCCATGGTAGAGCCGCTTGGAAGCTGTGGCCGCCGTGTGTTGCTTTGGTGGCTTCGGGTTGAAGCTCGAGCTGATAGCAAATTCCCACCTGGGTAAGTTTTTATTTTACACTCATTCTGACCAAATGCCCCATAACGTTATCCCATCGTCACTTGCCAGTCTTTTACTTGTGTGTGCAGCTGGATCATAAACTCGCCTTTAGAAATCACACTGCCATCAAAGCGAACACCATGGCCAGACTCTTCCTCAGAGCTCCCAGAGGCCATCAGAGAAGGGAAAAACAGTCAATCAGGCACAGAAAGACATCCCACGAAGGCAAGAGGATCAAAGAGCAAGAGCTCCAAAGGGGGAAAGCAGGAACCGAAAACTTCTGATAGTGTCAACGTATCAGCAACTATAGTGAAAGATACAAACCAATGAGGGAAGAAGCTGTTATATAATCATCCAAGTTTCATTTCATATTCTTTTTCACCGTAAATATCGTAATATTGTTGAGAGTGTGTGTGTGTTCATTGGCGTCATCGTATACAATACAAAGTCACGTGAGGTGTTTTGAGTTCTTAAAATCGATCCTTGGCTCTAAAACAAAACTTGGCAGACAATAGTCTCAGAAATCTCTTAACCTTAAAAAATTAGCCAAAATTTAATACTCAAAATCAAAACCAGGTGCAGGGAACTCCCTAACTTTGTTGAATCACTTTGACTGTTTCTTCTCCAGTTTGACTTTGAGGTTAGCTATAATCTTATCCTGAGCCATGATCTCATGTTCCTTAGCTTTGAGTTTCAGCTTAAGTTCTTCAATTTCCTTTGAGTGACCTTCACAGCTGTTTGCGAAGTCCTTAGCTTTGAGTTTTTCCTTCAGTACTTCAATTTCCTTTAAATGATCCTCACAATGGTTTACATTTTCCTCTTTGGCCTCCTCAGATTCATCTTGAACCATTTTACGAACGTATAAACAAGTTCCTGATCCTGAACTCAGCTTAAACGCAACCATTTTTTGTGCCAAACCCCCTTTCTCCTGAAAAAAAAAAGAAGACAATTGAGATTTATTATATTGATTATCTTGCTATATTTTCAGATCCTGAAAATGATCAGAGAGAGAAAATTCTAAATACCTTAACTGCGTCTCCTCTTAAGTTATCAAATGCTTGGTTTGCTTCTTCTGCACTATTAAATTTAACAATAGCATTGTAATAACCTCCTTTTTTTCTTGGTGGCTGCCCAAAAACAAATAAAAAAAAATATGATCCTCGTGAGAGGGGGAAAAATGAGTATAAAGATTAAGATGTTCAGTATTATATTACCATAATTTCAAGTGTGAATTTTCCGGTAATAACTCCTCCTAACTCTTGAGATGGTACATTGAGAGGGATTTTATGAAGGAGGAGCTTTTTCTTATCAGCTTCTCTTTGGTTTACATTTGCTTCTTTGATCTCCTCAGATCCATCGTCTCTCTTCTGTCTCTTAGAACTCACATCATTCTCTTCTGTTCTAGCTCTCTTTGGTGCAGTTATTTCACTCAAAGAATCATCTAGAACATTTTTACGAACAAATATACTAGCTTCTGATCCTGAACTCAGCTTAACCGCAACCAATTTTTGTGGCAAACCCACTTTATCCTGAAAGAAAAAGACAACAGAAACTTCTTAAATCGATTTTATATCAGAAGTTTCAGATCCTGAGATGACCGCAGAGATGATCTTAAATACCTTAACAATGTCTGCTTCAACATTTTCAAATGCTTGATTTGCTTCTTCTGGACTACTAAAATCAACGACTGCAGTATAATAACCTCCTACTTTTTTTGGTGGCTGCCCAAAAAAACAAATTATAAACACATGATCCTCAAAGAGAGAGAAAATAGAGTACAAAGATTAGAATGCTCGGATTTATACTATTACCTTAACATTGAGTGTGAAATTCCCGGTGAGAACTCCTTGTAACTCTTGAGATGAAACATTGTGAGGGATCTTATGAAACAAAAGCTGTGTCTTACCAGCTTCTTGTCTTGCCTCATTTCTTGTCTTCTCAGCCTCCAACATCTAATATTGAGTTTGCAAAAAGTTTGAAATGAGTTCCAGAAAACTATAAATATAGATACATACGTATTTTGGAACATGGATATGTAAGAATCCGCCATACTTCCTTAGTTTGTTGAATTGTAGTGTCTACTCCTTTTTCTACTACAGCAAGTACAAGTTTCATGGCAGCTGCGGCGTCATGAACACAATTGTGAGCAGCACCGGCCATTCGAAGTTCTTCACCTAAAACAGACTGGAGATGAGAAAAATAAAAAAGAAGACAACGTTTTATCAATCATTTACATATTTAGGATTTGATTTCACACTGATCAGAGAATTAAAAAGCTTAGAATGCTTGCCTTGCATAAATTATTCAAAGAAGGTCTATGATGCTTTGGTGCATCGGCATACTCAAATACAAATGAAGTATCTATTACCCTCGCATGATCTATCCTCAACACTGTGGTCAAAGTAACTGGTAAGCACAATTGAATTTAATAATCTATAGAAAATTTGGAGCGTTTTGGTTACCTTGAAGATCATTATGCAAACCATGCCCTACCAAAATAGTTCCCACAGAAAGAAACCTCCGCAATTTTTTTTGAATATCTGTAACAGATAAAGTAGCTCTCTCAAGATCATCAGCCGTAACTCCAGTAATATCCGTCTTATAGTTAATAACTGGTTTGTCCGGTTTCACAAATTTGTCAAGAACCACCTAATTGATGAACATTAGATTAATAAAACAACATGGTTACAAAGCCCGACCACAGAGTATTGAAGAAAAAAACTAAAAGATTGAATGCTTAATAGCTACACACCTTTAAGTCGCGGTCCACAGCGCCAACTCTAACTACAGCTTCACTCCCATCTTCACAGGTAACCATCTCACAATCAATAGCAAGCATTCTGGTCGATTTCATCACTTTTGACTTCTTCTTTCCATTCTCAGTTACAAACCAATCCTGTTATGCAATTCGGAAAATGTTCTTTCTGATAATCTTAAAAGCAGGAGAAAGAAAAGGCAGGTAATAAATTGGATAGAAATACAAACCTCGGCAAAGGAAGGGAACGAATAGGTTGTAGGGTACTGAAAATGTGCAATAGTCAATCGAACTAGCCTCTGCACTGCCAACAACATAGAGTTATGAACCAAATACTAAAATTAATTGCATTACACACCACAAAACCATAATAGAAATCCTCAAAATAATTCTCCACCTGCTCAGGAGTCTCTTTATCCGGAGATTCTTCCTTGAATTTCTCAATTAGATCACGATTAGCACCACATTGCATAACTCTAGCTATTAGCTGAAAGTACAAGCCAATAAACAAACATGGTGAGAACTGAACTAAGAAAAAGTCATCCAAAGAAGATAATAGAGAAACATCAAACAATGTGTATTAGGTTCTTTAATTTACCTGCATATCTTCTTTCTTTTTGAATGACATAAGAAAAGCGACCAAAACATCATTGGAACGTCTTGCAGGATCACTCAAACTCGATCCGAACTTCTTGTCGTAAACATTTAAAAAGTCCTTCCATCCTCCATTTTCGCCTTCTAAACCTCGTTTCTGAACTAGCTTTACCAATTCTACTAGAACCTAAACTCATCCATGATAGTTTTAATTTAAAAAAGTCAGAATTCGAAGAGAAACGAGTTTTTTTAAGCTGAGAAACAGGTAGTAGTAGTAGTAGTATGATAACGAAAGAGACTTACTTTTTTCTCGGCAGTAGCTAGTTTATGCTCCATAACCACTAGTCCTGAGGGACGGTGGCTCTCTTAGTATACAGAGGCGGCGAGTTGGAGAAAGCAGAGTTGGGGAAGACGGAGAATCGTAATTTAGGGTTTTATTCTGTTTCTTGCCCTTGCCTTAAAAGAAAAAATTAAACATAAATTTAGTTCCGGTCCGGGACTTTTGTAAATTACTGTTTTGTCCATTTTAATGTTCTTTGGTTTGAAAACACTTTATTTATTTCAGATTTAACCTTTGAAATACATTTATCTAATGAAACTATCTTAGTTTATACTTTATAGTAATTGTTGTATGAATCATATATATATTTCAACAGAGTACCAAAATATATAACTGTTAGGATGCAGAACGTTTGAAAACTACTAGTGATTTTGTAATTTCACCATCTACGAGATATTGTATAGACTTTTGGACCGTTTTAACTTGTCTTCCAAAACACTGTTAGTGCAACCAAAACAGTTCCTTAGAAAAGAAACATCTGCAAACCATCACCAACATAACCTATCCATGGTTACTTATAAGTTCATAAATATATATAAGTCAAATATGACAATTCATTTCACATCAATTGAGTAATATTCAGATTCCAAACTAAGAAAACAAATAAATCTGGACACCAAATCAATAGTCAAATACAATAAATGTTCTTCCTTGGAATGACTTTTCTCGTCGAAAAGTCTTGCACACAAATGAAAATGAAAGATGATTACAAGCAAACACAGAAAATTCAATTTAAAAGATAATTTTTTTGACAATTACCGTTTTTATAGTTATAGCTGATTCACGTGGAACTACCAGCATTGTCATTATTAGACCATTTTCTGAATGTGCAAGTTACCAAGTTTCTTCCAGCAAGAAACCCTAACTTTGACCTAATCGTTGCTAATCTACTTCCTCCATTGTTGCCACCACCATTACCTGGACCAATCTCCACTACAACACCACCTGCTTGAGCCACCCTCGGCTCCTCCGCAACGGTTTCAACCTCACCATCCACAGCCACCACCGCTTCGGTTTCATCACTATCCATACTCACCACAAGTGTCCTCCTTTGCTCACGCAGCCAATCTCCAATCTCTCCAGTCACCACTCTACATTTCTTCACCTTCAGTTTCACCAGATTAGGACATCCAACAGCAAGCGCCTCGATCCCTCGATCCGAAACCGGACATCCTTTGATACAGAATTTCCTCAATGCTCCACATTTCTTAGCTATGCAAGCGATCTCTGTATCGCCTATGGTTCCACTACCGCAGAGCGCTAATCGTTCGAGTTTCTCACAGTTTGAAGCAATGGCTGCTAGACTCATATGCGTTGCATTAACACCAATCAGCACAAGTTCTTGTAAGTTTAAGCAGTGTTTAGCTACAGACATGAGACCTTCATCACCAATCCTATTAGTCCTCCAACCATCAATATGAAGTTTCCTTAGCAGCTTACATCTCTCAGCTACATTAATAAGACCATAGTTTGAGCATTCTGGGGTTTTCACTATATGCAATGTCTCTACATTTGAGCATTTCGATATTGCAGAGAGCCCAATGTCACTCACTTGGAGCCTCTCTAAATGAATTTCGCTTAAAGAACTTTTACCATCTCCAATCATCTGAAGAACTTTATCCCAATCACCCAAACAACGAATGATTTTAAGTGTTTTCAGTGTTTTTGTATTAGCAACCAATGGTTCAAATACCTGGCCATTAACGAGCTCCTTCAAGCAAATGGACCTGAGCGAAGAGGACGAACCAGAAGCTGGCAGATGAATCAACTCAGCTGCTTCATGGATTCCTCGGAGTCGCTTCACCGACAATTCTTCAAGAAGCTTGCAATGTTCGAGCATCGCGTTGACGCCTTTAGCTCCAAAATTGCAAGATCCAACAGAGAGCTTCTTGAGATTTTTACAATTCCGAGCAAACTCTTCCATTCCCAGATCCGTGATTTCGCGGCAACCACGAAGCTTAACACGAGTCAGATTCAAACAGCGAACAGAGATCATAGCCAAAGCTTCATCGCTCAAGCTAACGGACTTGCGATCACATCGGAGAGCAAGCTTAGTCACCGAATCGAATCGATTGAACATAGACGTGAGGAAAGAGAAGATCTCATCCTTAGCATCTAAAGATAACCGATGACGATACTGACCGTCGACGAACAACCACCGTTTACAAACAAGAGAGCATCGCTTCCGATCTCCAGCTCCGAGAAACTGAAAGACATGAGCTAAACACTCATTGGGCAGATCTCCGGTGAAATCCCGGTCTCTAACCGAAACAACATTTCCCAAAGCCATAGATTCTCCTCCTCCAGAGGCAATCACAGGAGACCACAACCTCAAATCAATATCACGCCCGTTTGATTCCGCCGTAGACGACGGCGCTTGGCCCATCACCACCGAAGAGTCCTTTGGTTTCCTCCTATCTTCCTCCGCAATTTTCTTTTTCTTTTTGGGTAGAGAGAGAGAGACTTATTGGTGGTATGAGGAGGAAATTATAAAGTAAAATAGTACACACAGTAACGGCTCATCCCGTCAAATAAGGGAACACGTGGCATAATCGCAATCGACACGCTTGACCCAACTCACACTCGCACGCGCTTGATTTAATTCATCATCAACCGTCGGATCTAAATTAAGTGTTGAGCCAAATCACGAGCGTTGATTGCTTCGACTTTTTTGATTTAACTTTAAGTGTTTAGCTTTTTATAACCTCTCGTCACGCTCTTCTTCTGCAACATCATTACTTCTCTCTCTCTCTCTCTCGTGTTCAACGGTCAAACTTCAGGTTCTCAAGACACTCCTACTCTATAGACTTTTTTTTGGTATATGCTGCTAATGACTTATTCAATACGAGTATTTGATATTATTATGTCATTTTGATTTCCAATATTGAAATTTCTGGAAATATAATTGTCAAATACGTTCATCTGCGCATATGCGCGGTTTTTTATATGTTTTGTTTTGTTATGTTGAATGTTTGATTTGAAGACATAATTTTATTTTTTATTAAATATATTTGAACATTCGGATGATATATTGATGGAAATATCAATGCGCCTGTCCCCTCCAGCATGATATAATGTAGAGGGATAATAATAAAATATCTGACATTTCATTGGACCGACTTGCTGTCCTTAGAGGCCCAATACTGCAAGATATGTCTGGATCCATATATTGATGAGAAGCCCATATTTAAGTTTGATGGGCCAAACCGCAAAACCTTAAAATATATTTTTTTTCTTCCTATCAAAATGAAATTATTAATTGTGAAAACAACTGGATTTGATTGTTGATTAGTTATTATAACTCAATGTGATAATCAGTTAATACAAGTGAATAAAAGTACATTATTAAAGAAAATGTTCTTAAAACTCGGAACGATGATTGTGGAGTCGACGAAAGTCAAAAGTTGTGGTGTGTAAGTTTAAAATAGACACAATGCTTTTATCAACAAAAAATAGATATATATATATATATATATCTATAATGCACCACTAATACTAAAAATATATGACGACAGTATTATTACAAAACTTAAAAAGAAAAAAAAAAGAATATGCCAAACAAATATAAATGGGCTTTGTCCCTTTATCTCCAACAAAAAACACAATGATAATGCTCTAAAACCCAAACAGTACACAACTCTTTCCATGTTTGACTCCAACACATCATATGATCAATTGTTAATCCATGTTTTGTTATTTTTCTTATCCCCAATAAATCCTGACACATCTTTATCAATATTGAAAATGTAAATTCCAATAACAAACATTTGATGTAAATATCATGATTGAGTACTTCAACTTAGGTTGGTGTTTTAATGAGGTTGGGTTATGTAGATGTTATAATGAGTAGTACGTTCGATCACATAATGAGGTTATTACACTTTCTTTTTTACGTTCTCTCTTTTCCTCTCGGTCAATTCCGATAGTCCCCAATAGTCACTTTTCTTTTACAGTTACTATATGATATTTATACGCCACTATCAACTGGTTTACGGCGACCATCGTTTGAATTCGAATAAAGACTAAAGAATAGTGAAGTGGGGACGTTTACACTTTACAAGAGGAAACCAAAATATATATATATATATATATATATAAAAGATGTGAAAGGTGGAAATGTGAAGTCGCTATTAAAACTTTGTAGTAATCTCTTTCTCTCTCTCTCCCTCTCTCACTCTTTCAGATCCGGAGACTTCTTCGCTTGTTACCAATGGCTTCACCCACTTCGTTCCCTCTCGTGATTTTTACTTATCTACTACTACTAGTATATATGTGTCTGTGTCTTTGGTGATGCATTAAACACAAACACAATCCGAAATCTTTACCAATATATATAAGTGGAGTAACAAATCAGATCTAAACATGATTTTACTAATGACATTCTTTTAGATGATTTTACTAATGACATTCATTTAGAAACTAAAGTAATTGTATCTTTAATGAGGTTTAGAAGAATGCATTTTTTGACCACTAAACTGGTTGGTAAAGTTTAAGAACATACTTTATGGATAACTTAGTTATAATAGCAAAATATATTAATACATTTATTCAGCTAATCTCCCTTTTTTGGGCCTCAAATCCGAATTTTTAGTATATAAAGAAGCCAGACAGATTCGAATTAAATAATCACTCTTTTGAAGAGATCTTTATAGGATAAATAAATAAACGATTTTATATATCTTTTTTTTTTGCTTTCAATTTACGTATATATTTGGACCACAGAGAATCTGCAAAGCTATCAAGAAAGACGTGACTATAATAAATATTTCCACGAACAATAAATAATTTGATTCATACATTACGAATCTTCTATTTTATGTATCCCCGAAAAGAAAAAACTATAGTACTAATAATTAGTCTATATACAGCATATGTATTTTACAGAATTTAGATATTTTTTGCATTTTGTAAGATGGTCATGATACTAATATTAAAAAAAAAAACATGATCGTTAAAAGATAAAAAAAAGTCGAGAATGAATCTTAACTTAGTTCGCAGCACAACAAAGGAGCGTAATCATCACGATCCGATCAAGATAGATCCTTGTCACAATCGTACGGACAGGGTATAGGAGCGTTCATGCACGCGCGATAAGTAGCGTGTAATTAAAATGACATAAACACTTTACAGACTAATTTTAGTTAAAATTCGTTAATTTATATTAATTATCTCGCGCGCCAAAGCAGCCGAATATTATTAAAAAAAAAACAGAGACAAGGAGAAAAATGATAATATAACAAAATACGTATTTGGAAGAAAAAATAAAAAAAGACAAGCGTGAGGTAATAATAAAAACCCTTCGCTTTCTAAGCAAATTGTCTGGTCTCTTGTTCCTTTTTTTCTTCTTTCTTGACTGTAGAATCCGTCGACGAAACTTAAAAGCTTCAATGGCAGAATGAGCAGAGGAATTTGCAATTTCTTCTTCCGAGAAGAAGAATATGGCTTTGGAGAAGGAAGAAGAAGCGTTACAAAACGGTGCGTTTTGTGTTCTTGATGGGCTCTATTGCGAGGAAGAAACCGGGTTTGTGGAAGAGGAGGATCTTGATGGAGACGGGGACTTTGATTTTCTCGAGAAATCCGATGAGAGTGTCGCAAAGTTTCAGTTTTTACCTCCTTTGGATACGTTTCTATGGGACGACGATGAGCTGCTGAGTCTGATTTCAAAAGAAAACGAAACGAATCCTTGTTTTGGGGACGGGATCTTAGATGAGTTTTTGGTTTCTTGTAGGAGAGAGGCTTTAGATTGGGTTTTTAGGGTTAAATCTCATCTCGGGTTCACTTCATTGACGGCTATCCTTGCTGTGAATTACTTCGATAGGTTTATGGCAACTATAAAGTTTCAGGCAGATAAGCCATGGATGTCGCAGCTTGTAGCTGTGGCGTGTCTGTCTTTAGCTGCTAAAGTCGAAGAAATTCGAGTTCCGTTGCTCTTAGACCTCCAAGTTAGTTACTTTTTCACTCTCTGTTTATAATGTGGCTTAAGTGTTTGCGGAAATGCGGATTTCTAATAGTGTTTTGTTGTGTGTTGTCGGTTAAGGTGGAGGAAGCAAGATATGTTTTTGAAGCTAAGACTATACAAAGGATGGAGCTTTTGATTTTGTCTACTCTCCAATGGAGAATGCACCCTGTCACTCCAATCTCTTTCTTTGATCACATTATTAGGCGATTTGGCTCTGAACGTCTCCAGCAATTGGAGTTCTTTAGGAAGTGTGAGCGTCTTCTGATCTCCGTTGTTGCTGGTGAGGTTTACATTTCAAAACCTTTTTCTTGAAGTCTTAGATTGGATTCTTTGGTGACGGTGCTAAATTATGGATCTTGGTTTGCAGATACGAGGTTTATGAGTTACATCCCTTCGGTGTTAGCTACTGCAATAATGATTTATGTCATCAAGGAATTGAAACCATGTGACCAAGTTGAATACCAATCTCAAATACTGACTCTACTCAAAGTTAATCAGGTCTGTGCTTAAAAAAAAGACACTTTGTAATTAGTCCAACTGTACTACTGTTAAGAATCAAAATCTGATTCTGCATTGAATTCACAGAATAAAGTAAACGAATGCTACGAACTGTTGTTGGAGCACAATCCAAGCAAGAAGAGGAAGATGAATTGGCCTGATCAGGACAGTCCAAGCGGTATATTTGACTTTGATGACAGTTCAAATGGCTCGTGGGTTGTCTCTACTACTTCAGTGTCATCATCATCATCGTCTCCAGAGCCTTTGCTCAAGAGAAGGAGAGTGCAGGAGCAGCAAATGAGGTTGCCTTCAATAAACCGTATGTTTCTCGATGTACTCAGTAGTAGTCCTCGTTAGTAGTACCTTTCTTTTGATCAAATGTGTCAAACATAAATTCAATCTCTCTTTTTCTGCGTATCATTATCGGCTGTTGCTTAAGGCAGAACATTTTGTGATAACTCTAAGTTTGTTGTCTTAAATCTTAATATTCATTCATCACTCATTATTCCCTTGCATCTTCACAATAGTTCAACTTTATAGCTTATATGTATGCAATTTCATTTACTGATTATAATCAAGTAAAGTGTCAAAGAGAGAATTCAAAAGTCAAAAGTTAGGAGTAGTACATCGTCCTTGAAATCTCAACAAATTCCACTAGTAGCACAACGTAGGGCTTTAGACTAAGAATTGACTGATAAATAAACATCAGTAACAGTAATAAGTAAAAAAAAAAAGTATATCTCCTCACTCCTCTCTATCTATCTATCTATCAAGTCTCTCTCTCTCTCTCGTGATGTGTCAATTGTTTGATATAGAAATCTCTTGGACCTCTTTAAATTTGGGGGGGAGATAAGATTGGAAAGAGAAGAGTGGTTGATATAAATGATAAACCTGAAACATCTGATTTCTCCTGTTGGGTTAAGTAAAACATGTGAAAGAAAACCTCAGTTGTACCTTCTGAGCAGAAACAAGAAGAGTGGTTGGTTTTTTTTTTTGTCACAACTCTTTTTTATAATCTCTAATAATTTCAGAGGTAATATTGGATTTTGATACGAAAGGAGAGGTTTTAGAGACCAGACAAAGAGTGGTTCAAGTACTTGTTTTGTTTTTATCCTTGAAGATGAAAGAGATCTGATGGACATACATATACGTATGGGAAACAACTCTCCTATGACTTTGAATTTACTGTCTCATGTCTTGTCAAAGACAATTAATATGTTTATAGCTTTTAAGCACCATCTGTGAATAACCCATTGGACATCTTCAGAATTTCAGACATGTATATCTGACATATATATATATATATATATATATATGAATTATTGTAATGTGAGATTTTAACAATCTTTCTTGGGGTTTTAAGTTTTATTGCTTGAGCTATCACTGACTAAACCAATCAAAGACCTTCGCGGACTAATCTTTTGATGATTTATATCGGTCGTTCTTTACTCAGATGGTAATTGGTTTTTTGTTAAACCGAAAGAACCGGTTTCGGTTTAGTTATTCATTTTGATGATATTGCTGAAAATATAATTTTGTATCTATCTACTCCAACGGTCATAATTTAGCATCTTCTTTTTTCTTTTTTTTTTAATAAAACAAAAAAAAAAAGAAAAAGCCTGTCAAATTATCGAACAAAATTATGAAAAGTTCTTTAATTTTTTTCAGAAAAGTTATAACTTATACATACGTTGTCTTGCCTACGTACCAACAAGCCCACACGGTAAAAGCCTAGTTTTCTTACGCCACGGTCTTATTTATTATACGTTATATGTCCTGATCAACATCATAAACGAACTCGACACACAATATTACAAAATCTGTATAATTAAGAAAAATAAGGGGGCATAGAGAAAATAAATTAGCAAAAATAAAGATTTGGTGGAACAAAAACACAAAGTCATCTTCTCATGCAAACAAAAAGGAATTACTTATTGGATATAAGGTTCTGTCTTTTTAAAGAGTTATCTCATAGCAATAAATATTTTTGGAAATAATCTAACTCTCTTAACAATATTAGAAGCTCACTTTTGATTATAGAAGCCTTCCTTTTTTTTATTAGCCAAGAAAAATATTCGTTTAAGATTAAAACAATAAAAAAATCGGTGAAAACTAATTATGTCAGGGGCTAGTTTGATTATGGGAATGCAAATAAGATTTTAATTTACAATTGTGAAGTACTTGAAAAATTAGTAAACCGATGTTTTTACTTTTTAAGGTTTTGAGAGATGACTTCTTTGGCAGATTCAAGGGTGGATTCAACTGCAGCGGCAGCTCCGACGAGAACGCCACCGCTAGTTTTGGGGTGAAATTCATGAACCACTTCTACATTTTTTTGCTCCGAAGCTTTCCCTGCCGACGAACGATGATCAGTTGTTTCCACCACTACTCTTGATCCATCCTCTTGTCTTCCTTTAGTCTCCTTTTCCTTTTTGCAAAATTCAAATTAAAATTTCATATGTAGTTTATATATACCACAAAGAATACAAAACAACATACCTGCGAGGCTTTTAGGTTCATATCTGATCAAATTAAATTGTTAAACAGTTTTTTTTTTTCAAATAGAAGAAGAATAAACAACTTGTACAAACAGAGAATTAAATTATAAAAGCAAGTTCTCAAAAAGAGCATATATACATCATTGTTTGTGGCTAATCGGAGTTTTCGGTTCTTGCGTTTGTCTTTCTAAAATTTCCCATTATAAGTATTTGATTGGCCAGCCGGAGTCTTAGGATTATGGCTCTAATGCCGTAATTAATCTGTCATTTCCACTCAATTATGCAAAATCACTAATTCATGTTTAATCACTCTCTACTGATACTAACCAATCAGATGTGATAAACATATTATACCATAAGGATCACAAAACATCACAACAATGATATTTTCAACAGAGTACTACTAGTAGTAGGTTTATAAGAAAGGGATAGGGAAGTTTTTTCGAAGATAGAGCAGATATTCTCTGACTAGTGAGAATGTTTTTCATAAGCGGAGTATTATAGCAAGTAGCTAACTGACTCAGCAGGTCAAGAGAGGAGATGAACCACTGCATTTGACATCAGAAGCATCAGAAAGGCGTTGTCTTGGTGAGAGTGTTGTAATCGCCGCAGCATCCACGTCGAGATTCACTATGAGTTTCCTCTTCTGTGACTCTATTACACTGTTCCTTCTTTCTTCTGATCCTTCAGCAATGGGGCTCAATGTCTGTATCTCTGCTGTTTCAGCTGCTGCTCCAACGTCTTCTCCATCTGCTGCGTATAAGATTCTTTTTATGGAGCCAACAAGCTGCAGAACAAAACCAATGATGATGATGATTTTCAAACGTTTATGGACTTTTTGAACTGAGACAGAGAAAAGAATTTTGCATACAGGTAAGTGCTCTGTGTCTGGATTTTGGCATAGAATCTCCACATCTCTTAGTTTAGAGAAATAGAAGTCTCTTTCTTTCTCTAAGCTGTCTATGTAGAGTTTCAGTTCTGTGATCTATGATAAAATAAGTGAGTTAGTGAGCTATATAAATGAATGAAAATTTTAAAATTAGTGTGTTGAGAGAAACAGTACCTTTTCATCATAAGCAGGCACTGGTTTAGATTGTTTAGCTGATGGTTTTGAAGAGTGGTGATTCCCAGTTGAAGAGTGGTGAGTCCCGGTGTTGGAGGATTGTGGTTCGTGTTTACGGGTTCCATTAGAAGACGAAGGTCTAGGTGCACCTGAAGAAGAAGAACTCTTGCCTGATTGTTGTGTAGCTGCAGCTCTCTTGGTTGCTTCTTTTCCTCCTTTGCTGGCTTCTCTTCTCTCCAGTGCGTGGTAACTACCGATGAAAATTAAATACAAGAGAGCAGTTTCAGGAACAAGTATAAGAATGGATCATATATAATGCTAAACTTCATAGAAACAGCATATGAACTAAAGACTGATGGATTTATCTATTCAGCGAGTACAAATAATAAGTTTTCCTCATCTGAGGACCATGATTCATAGTCAATTTTGGTTTTTCTTAATGAAATGGATTCAGTGTCTCACAACAATGAGAATCAAGAAGCCAAGTATAAACAGATTCTTCAAATTTAGAGAAACAAGGTTCTGATTGTTGCAAAACTTACCTATGCTGGCCTCCGTTTACAGAATCACAGTACTTCTTCATCCATTGCATAAACTCCAAGTTATCCAATGGCCTTCCCTTAACAAGTTTGCTCACTTCGATGTGCTACACAGCCAAATTAAACCACAAAAAGTCAGTTCTATTATGCCTAAATCAAAAACCCTGTAAAATCGAGAGAAAAACAAAAGAAAATAGACCTTAGTGATCTTGAGTTTATTAAACACATCCTGAAGAACTTTATAGTTCTGAATCATCTCGTACTCGCTCTTGGCATCAAAGTTAACCTTGTGCATCGGAACAGTTCCAGGGTGTACCGAATCCATGAGCTGACAATGAACAGCGCCTGAACAAGCCTACAATAATCCACATACGCAATTTCAGATCCAGATCAAACAACACAAACAGATTGAAAATTCATCGAATCCGTACTCGAATCCAGATCAAACAGATAAGAAATTCATCAAATCCGTATTCAAAAATCCAGAACAACAAATCAAAACAGATTAGAGATTCATCGAATTGCTATCAGAAGATCTCGTAAGATCCGATTCCAAATTCCAAAACGAGACTGCTTCATAGATTGATTATAGATAGAAGCGAGATTACTCGATAGATCAGTTACCTCTTCAACTTTGGAGAGATTAAGCTGCAGAGTGGAGTTAATCCAAGCCAGAATCTCCGATCTCCCAACGAAATATGCAGAATCCATCATCCCAATGTTCGTCACCATCTTCTATTTTCTCAGATCCAACTCGTCTCTCTCTCTCTCTCTCTCTCTTCTTCTTCTCTCGCTCTCGCTCTCTCTCTCGCTCTCTCTCTCTCTCTCGCTCTCTCTCTAACGGCTCTTTTGAAATTAGAGAAGACAACAAAGATAGAAAAATGGAGAGACGAGAGCGGAGCTTTTCAATTCAAAATACAAAATATCCGAATCTTTACCCGCTCTGATTATTTCGGATCCGGGTTCTTTTAATAGGCCTATAATTGGTAGGCTGCTTTGGAAAGCCCAATAAAACTTGCTTAAATCTTTATTTTATTGACGCCTTTTTCGTGAAACCAAATTTTAAAATAAAATACCACTAAATACAACCTAAACTGAAAATATAAAAGTTTTGTCATACGCTATACGAGTTGGACCATTATAGAATACCACTAAAATAATCAACACAAAAGATAAGTTCAAAATCAGAGGCCACAAGAGAGGTATAATAAGTTGAAACTCGCCTATCAATCTATCTCTAAGTACACACAGACACAGTCAGGAACTCTTAGTTATTATTATTGTTGACTAACATGAAGAGGGAATCTCTCGAGAACTTGTAAAGCGTCTTTGATATTAGGCCTTCTCTGTGGTATTGGAGATGCACAAGCTAGGCCCATTTTCAAACATGCCAACACAGCATCTTCTTTGCCTTCTAACTCGGCCCGTATAGCAGCGTCCGCCATCCGAATCGCCCGCTCACCGTCGTCAATCACAAGCCCATTAACCTGTCCAAGCTCGTCGACAACCACAATCTTTCCCGTTAGCAACTCGAGAAGAATAACTCCGAAAGAGTACACGTCCCACTTCGGATTCGCCTTTATGCTCCGGAGAGATTCAGGAGCGTTGTAAGGTAACCCAACTGAACTTGGACTTGGACTCGGGCTCGGTCCAAACTCTAGAGATGTTGTGGATCTCTTGCTTCCAAATATGGGAGCCGATCCACCGGTTCTGTAGCTCATGTCGCCGATCAAAAGCTTCTCAAGGCCGAAATCAGCCACTTTAGGCTCCATATCCAAACCCAAAAGGATATTACTAGGCTTGAGGTTACCATGCACGTACTTCTTGTCGTGTATGTACGTTAGCCCACGAGCTATACCTTTAGCTATCTTGAGCCGAGCCTCCCAAGGTAAATGACAAGGCGAGGATCCCACTTTCCCTGCAAATTAAAAAGAGAAAGAAAAAACCAAGCCCGTATATTAGGTGAAATCGAACATGTATATGTTGTGTGTACACGTTAGCAAATCCCTCACTGTTACTTATCAATACAAAAAGACAAAAGTGAAGCAAAGGACTTGCTTCTGTCAATACAAAATTACAAAACCTTTTTTTGTAACTCAAACAGAGAGATTTCACAGAAACACAGAACTGTCACTATCTTGCGCCTGAGATAACTTACGATAAGAAAGAAAAAAAAATCAATTTCGAGACTTGCCGTTGACTCTCGTCCGATCATTAACTGACATACTTTTTTTGTTGGAACCAACTCTTCTGACTCCGAAACCGACACTCCGCTCATGTTAGACGACTAATATATGATTCTACTAACGTAAGCATTAAATAAGATTGAACGGAGAAAAGAACATGACTTACGGTAACGGGCGTTAGCGAGGCTGCCGTTGGGGACGAAATCGTAAATGACAAGCTTCTCGTCGGATCCCCAATAGAAACCTCGAAATCGTACCAGGTTTGGATGTACCAATTTAGCCACGGCTCGAACCTGCGCTTCGAAATCTCTAAACCGGTCTAAACCGCATTCAGCTATACGTCTAACCGCCACGGCCGTTCCGTCTTGGAGAACCGCTTTATACATTATGCTCGAACCGGTGGCTCCCAAGATATAAGCCGAAGCTTTGAGAAGCGTTTCGATCTCGAGCTGTTTCTCTGAGTCGAGGTTCACCAACGTGCCTTTCTTGTCTTGATCGTCCAATCCTGACCGTCGATTTGGCCCGACGGTGTTCTCTTCGTCGGATTCGGATCCCGATGTCTCGGATTCCTCTTCTCCGTCTTCGCAGTCACCGTCAACGTAAACGGTTTTGCGTAGACAGTACCATTTAGAGACCTTGGAATCTGTTGATGACGTGGACCATTTTGACGTAGCCGTTACGGTCTTCCGTTTTCTCGACTGGTAAATGTAGAAAAACACAATCCCGAGGATGGCTAAACCGGCAATGTCACCGACAACGATGCCAATAATTAGCATCGGTTTATGATCCCACTTTGATTTCTGACCGGTTTTGGGGGTGATTGTGTGATTGGTTAAGCCAATGGTGTTCGGTATAGCAGCTAATGCCGGAGGAGAATTTGGTGTCAGCGACGGGGGTGGAGATGTTGCTTCACCGTCACGGCAAGGGTGTTTTGCCTGGTCGGTTCCGCAGAGACCCGGGTTACCGGTAAATGAGTTGGATTCTTGGTTATCGAGAACCCGAAAACCCGGGATTTGACCAGTGAGTTGGTTGAAAGAGATATCGACGGTGGCGTTTTCCGGTATTTCATCGGCGAAACCTGACGGAATCTCTCCGGAGATTCTGTTGTACGAAGCGTTGAAATAGCGTAAACGGTTCCCTCCGAAATGTGACGGCAAAGAGCCTTTGATCAAGTTCGAGGACACGTCAAGATACTCCGTCGACTTAAAACCTCCCGGAATCTCGCCTGAGATGTAGTTATTCTTCAGCGAAATCTCCGTTAAGTTCGGACTCCAGCCTAAAGTCCTCGGCAATTCTCCGACGAAGGAGTTGTCAGAGAGATTCAACACCTGGAGATTCGAAAGCGCGCCAAAACTCGCCGGTAAATTGCCGGAGATGTGATTATCGGACAGATCAAGAAACCGAAGCTCCGTCGCGTTGAGAAGAGAGACAGGGAAAGAGCCATTGATCGAATTGTTGGAAAGATCAAGCCTTTGAAGGGAACGGAGAGACCCCAAATTAGAAGGAAGAGTGCCGGAAAGGTTCGAGCTCGGGAGTGAAAGAACAGTCACGTGCCCGGAAGTTGCATCGCACGTGACGCCACGCCAGAAGCAAGGAGTGTCGTCGTCATATCTCCAGCTCCGTAGAACAGAAAGAGGATCGTCGACGATAGAGTAACGGAAAGAGAGGAGAAGAACACCGTCTGTGTTCAGAGCAAGTATTGACCGGTCACAAAGGAAGAAGAAGGACAAAACAGTAACCACGAAAAGATAACGGCGGAGATTATCGGCGGTGAGTCTCGTCGTCATAGTGCTTCAGCCTTACGCATCGATAGATAACTAAAAGTTTGTTTTTGTGAAAAGGCCATGTGATTGTGAGCGATATCAAAGTGTTTTATCTCTTTATTATGGAATTCTTGAAACTTTCGTAACAAAAAAAAAAAATATTGTAATTAAATAAAATACTTTACTATAATATATCCTATGAAAAAAATTGCACGGAATATGATAACAAAAGTTAACACTATTTTTCCTATTTCGTAAATCATGCTGACGTCGATTTGTCGTTTATCACGTTTATAATCAACGTGGACCATATAATGTTCATCATTGTTTACATTGATCTTTCAAAAGAAACGTAACACAATAAAACCATATAAAATCTGGATATTCTTTTTTTTAAAACACACAAATCTTTGCTAGATCACAAAAACAAACCTATATAATGTACTATTTTAAAAAATTTCTATTATTCCTTTTGACTGTGTATGATGTTCTAAGAGAAATTATTGTGACGTGAGATTACACAAATCGATCATGTGATGTGGTGTAAGATTTGCATTATTTATATAAACCAACCAATTAAGTAATATATATGAAAAACATGATCAGATGGGAGAATAGTATCTTTGCTATAAGACATTCACAAAAAGTTTGAAGTTTTTTTGCAGGTCTCACACTGACTTGGATTTACCGGTTTATTATTTTAATGTTCTCATATATATTACACCTAAACCTAATGTATGTGAGATCATAGTACATCTTATAGATGATATAGGCTAATTAAACTAATGTTGTGATTCGTTATTATGCACGAAACATTTACTAGATAGACCTGCTTCCTACAAAGATAATTAAATATCTGTTTTGATTCAGACCTAACATATATACCCAAAAAAAAAAATCAGAAGATTCTGTTTAATGAAGTGCAAGTAGAGAGTGATTATACGAAGAATTCGATTAGATTAATAATTATGGAATCTTAAGAAGTAATAATTTAATTAACAGAACATGCATATGGTAATAATCCCAATGGATCACGAGAGTTTTAGATTGAATGAAAGAGGAAATAATGAAAGAAAAAAAACACTAAACAGTTATGTGTTCCATCAAAAAGATATAAATATGGTACTGTTATTAATCTACCCCCAGAGGCCAGAGGTCAACATCAGACGTTAAATAAAATTAAAAATAAATGCTCGTCAAGATTAATGTACGCCCGGTCAAATTAATTAAATTCGGTCCCCTTGTTTTTTTTTTAAATTTTTCGTGAGCGTTATTTGTGGTCCTTTCTTTGATTGCCAATATCGCAAATTATTATTTCTGTGTGTATGTATATATGTATAATTATGTTTTGACAGAAATTATTACCTAAAGATTATGCTGAGGTTGTCAAGGCTGCTCAAAACGATTAAGCAATCATGAGATGAACATGTTTTCATTAAAACCTAAATTTGTATGCAAACCGATGGAATCACTCTGCCGAAACCATGGATTTTTAGGTTCTATTTTGCAACCCTTTTTAAAAAAATAAAATGCGTAAACTTAAAATTAACTTGTATTGTCGGTACTCTAATAAGTATATATCAGAAAAAAAAATTTACTATTCTAAAGTTCAAAAAAAAGAAAAAGCGTGAAACAATAAAAACATATGAGTGTCGTGTAGTCCAAGGTTCAGACGTTGGGGTTATTAATTACCATATAATAACTCTTTTCATATTGACCACTATTCAATATTTCGTTTTCGTTATACATATTTTTATACTATTTCTCAAACGTAAAATTTACAGTATATATTTTTTCTATAATGTCAAATGAATAAATACTATTGGTGTCGTGTGTGAAGTGTGAACACATAAACAGTGTTATATAGACTCATAGTTGTTTTGTACTGTGTGAGTTGTCAGAACGCATTTAGTTATACAAGTTAAAAATTCATGTTACAAATTTAGACAAGAGTAGCTAGGTTTCGAGTTTCACTTCACAAATTATTTACCGTTTTCGTTCTTTTTTTTTGTTTTGCCTATTACTATAAAGGCGTAAAACAATGCTCGTACGTAAGTAATTAGCCAGTAAGCTCGGATACGAATATATTAGAAACAAAGATGTAACCATACATTATTATTATTATTAATTAGAGAGAAATGGCTACTAGTTTGGCGGTGGACAAAGACGTGAGATACATCAGAGATGGCGTTTTCTACTTACCATTATGCAAAACTCCAAACTCCGTTATCGTCTTGCAAAATCAGAGATTATATATAAATTCAAATCCTGAGTTCGACAATTTTTCAAAACAGTGATGATATAATAATACAACACTGCGCATTGTCACTTGATCGGTCGGGTGTTTTTGGATATATTATGATTATCTGTTGAGACTTTTCTTTTACATTCTTCGTTTTCCTCCACAAATATGATTCTTGAGAAAAAAGAAAGAAAATAACGGTCAAGAAAATAAATCTTCTTATAATTGCTAGAGTAATCGAGTATTATATCTATATATATGCCAAATAATATTTAGATTTTTATGATTCTTTGAAGTGAACACTTCGAAGCCATTTCTGTTAGTAAGCTACTATCTAGTGGCTGGCTTATTAACAACGACAGATGATTAAGTGAAATGGGTCATGATTATTTAATTATTTATTCTTAGATTTCTGGAAGACAAAAGCTTAAATTAAAAAATCCTCTTTTGCTTTGTTATAATGATGTGACAGAAAATAAAAGAGAGAGATGGTATTCTTATGCTTCTTCCTCTTTTACTAATCATCATATGTACTCTTCTTTTTTATAAAGTAATCATATTTATTCCAGGTTTATAACTAATTAATCGAACAATTAAAAAGAGGTAGAAAAAGGAGTATATTATATTAAAAAAATGATATAGAGAAATAATAACTAGAATACGTTCATCACAATTATTATTACTGTACGTGCTGGCGAGTAATAAGTTTGTAACATTAAATATTTAGCTTTTCAAAGAAGAGGTGCAATGAATAATGATCTTGAAGATATATATTTATTTTCATTCTCTTTTTTCTTTCTTAGGTTTCTTATAATTAAAAAATCCTTTAAATGGAGCCTTTTTAGAAAGCTTATATAGTAAAGGAATTGGGCACAATATTAAAAAGGCCGAAAAGCTTCAAATATGAAAAAGCCTTGAGAATAAAATTTAGCAAATCACGTGAGGATTACTAAACATACTTTTATTTTAAGATGATGTTCAAATTTTAAAGATAATAACTAGAGGATGGCCCGTGTTTTCGCACGGATGATGTTTTTTAAACTAAAGATATAATTGGATTTGTATTAATATTTGTTATTCAATAGTATAGGATAAACATAATAGTCTTGTATATTTTAATTTTAATTTTATATAGTTAAATCGCGTGTTGATTTGTATATTTTAACTGTATAAAAAGTAAATAATATATACAATAGTAATTAGGTCTGGTTTTAATATAAGTACGTATATATTATATTTTCCCTAAAACCGTTAAATTTATCAATCACGGACATTACCTCAACGGTGTATAAGAAAATGCAATTTTTTAATATAATTTACAAAAATTGTATATCGGTTGAAAGATAACATAAGTGATATATAAAAATTTCATAAATTTGGATAATCTATTTATGAATACCTTATGAATAAAATTTAACTATTGGCAAAAGTATATGATAAACTAATCTGCTAAAATGTTAACAAAAAAGGAAAATATGATAAATATTGTAATTGTAAACAATTTTAATATAAAATTTAATCTTTAATCTACTTTAAATAAGGTAAATTAAATGTTTTAAGTTTAATATTGTACGAAATATTTAAATTTAGAAATATTAATGAAAAACATAATATACTGAGATTTTTCACCTAAACTACTTCCTTAATTGAAAATTATAATACCTATTAAATCTTTTAGATATTCGAAAATAAGATTTAATTCCAAGACCCGATTAAGAGACCTGTTTTAAGAGATGACCAGAATATCTTTCAAAGTAATGCTATTTTAATATTTTAAAATTTAGTTTAAATTAATTAAATGCTTACCAAAATTAAATTTATTATCATTTTATCTAAAATCGGTTAGTAAAAGAGGTAATATTAGTTGAAATTTATTTCCTTCATTTTTTCGTTTCTGAAAATGATTTTTTCTTATAAGTTTTTAAAGAAAAAATGTTATCAATCAAATTTTTTATTTCATAAAATGTATATTATTTTTATTCATGGTTAAAAAATATATTAGTTACATAAGATCTTTTAAGATATCTTGCATATATTATGTTTCAAAAAAATATTTACGTATATATTTTC